ATTCCAAATAAACAATCTAATTTTACACGTGAAGGAAACAGAAAAGGAAGAACAAACAAAGCCCAAAGAGGAGAGCCCAAATATTGTAAATGAAATCAGAAATGAAAGAGGAATGATTACAACCAATACCATAGAAGTACAAAGTATCATTAAAGAATGCTATAAACAATTATATGCCAACAAATGGATACATTTCTAGAAATGTATAACCTTCCAAAGCTAGACCAGGAAGAAAATGAAAATTTGAACAGACTGATTACTAGCAATGAAACTAAAGCAGTAATAAAAAAAATAAAAAATAAAAACTCCCAACAAACAAAAGCCCAGGCCCAGGTGGCTTCACAGTTGAATTCTACCCAACATTTAAAGAAAAATTAATACATACCCTTCTCAAACTATTCCAAAAAATTGGAAAGAATGCTTCCAAACTCATTATATTCAATACAAGACCAGCATTACCCTGATACCAAAATCAGACAATGACAACATAAACAAAAGAGAATTACAGGTCAATATCTCTAATGAACATAGATGTAAAAATTATCAACAAAATACTAGCAGACTGAGTTCAACAATACATTAAAAGGATAGCCCATCCCGCCCAGCAGGAATGGCTCAGTGTAGACCTATGAGCCAGGAGGTCACGGTTCAATTCCTGGTCAGGACACATGCCTGGGTTGTGCACTTGGTCTCCAGTAGGGAGCACACAGGAAGCAGATGATCAATGATTCTCTCTCATTGATGTTTCTATCTCTCTTCTTCTCCCTTTCTCTCTGAAATCAATTCAAAAAATATTTTTTAAAAGGACATACAGCATGATCAAGTGGGATTTATACCAAGGATGTAAAGGTGGTCAATATCCACAAAGCAATTTATATAATTCAACACCTCAACAATACCAAGGATAAAAATCATATGACCATCTCAACAGATGCAGAAAATTTGACAAAATTCAATATCCACTTATGGTTAAAAAAAAAAAACACCCAAAACTCTCAGCAAAGTGGGTATAGAAGGAACTTACTTGAACTTGATAATGGCTGTATATGATAAAACCTTGTCTAACATACACTCAATGGTAAAAAGCTGAAAGCTTTTCATCTAAAATCAGGAACAAAACAAGGATGCCCACTCTTCCCACTATTATTATAATAGTACTGGAAGTCCTAGGCACAGCAATAAAACAAGAAATACAAATAAAAGACATCCAAATTGGAAAGAAAAAAGAAAAATTGTCACTATTTACAAATGACATATTATATATAGAAAACCCTAAAGAATCCACCAAAAAACATTGAAAATTGTTAGTATCCAAAACAACATCCTAAGATAGAATTTTGGTAGCCCTGTGAAACACTTTCTCATACAGACCAACCATGTGAAGAACATTTCCATTTTGTCTTGCAGCAGCTATTAATGTGAATGTCAGCAGTTTTTACTATTTTTTATTGGTTTCTTTGACATTTATCTGGTGTTCAAAATATACTAAAATAATGTTTCTCTGAATAAGCCTCACTTATAACTGTCATTTACTTCATAATGGTATTTATCTTCTTTCAAAGCTTACTCATTTGTGGATAATTATTAAGCACTTTGCAATAAGTGGGCTGTGAAACAGAGCCTTGAAATTTGACAACCCCTAAAACTCATAACAATCTTTCCAGACCAGAGGAGTGCTGAATTATTTTATACAACTCAATCATTGTCACCCCTTGGGTGTAATGGCAATGAAGGAAGTATAGCTTGAAAGGGATAAGGCTAGTTTTCCAACAAAATGGGGGAGAAGATTGATACCCCAGGTCTAGGCAATCAAAAAATCATGTCCAAGGATATCAACTGGGCAGGAAAGATCACATGAGGACTATAAAGGCAGATGCAGAAGCTAGCAGGTGAGAGAATCAGCAGGAATGGTTACCTCAGAATGTATCTGCCCCACACTCCTGGCAATAGTGAGCTCCCTGTTCCAGCCTGGTGGTTTTGGCAAGGGCTGCCTCTCCTCTCGCCATTTCCCATCTATCTGGGCACAGGTATGGGTTTATTTTTTTATTTTTAAATATATTTTATTGATTTTTTTACAGAGAGAAAGGGAGAGGGATAGAGAGCTAGAAATATCGATGAGAGAGACATCGATCAGCTGCCTCCTGCACACTCCCTACTGGGGATGTGCCCGCAACCAGTGTACATGCCCTTGACCGGAATCGAACCTGGGACCCTTCAGTCTACAAGCCGACGCTCTATCCACTGAGCCAAACCAGTTTCGGCAAGGTATGGGTTTATTAAACAGGCTGAATAAATCATAGTACCAATACATTAGGGGTAACTGTGTTCCCTATTTCTGAGGTGGTATGGCACGATCATATCTTTAATTACTGCTCCTCTCCCATCACCAAAACAAAGTGTCAGATGGATGAGCAGAGATTGGAGGGGGGAAGTTGTTGATAGCATTTGGACCAGAAGAGGACTGAGCCAGTTTGTTTTTCTTTTCATGTGAAGCATTTCTTCAGCTATATCTCATGAACATCTTAGGAAACTCAGAAACCAGCTTAGGTAGAATAGCATTATTTCTAGTTTTACAGCCATTTTCTATTGGCCTCTGGGATAAAGGAAATCAAACTTTCTATTATCTTCCACTTGAAAATATAAGAAGATATACAAGAACCAAAAAATTTAATGCTTTTAAAACACATACCAAGAAAGCCCATAATATCCTTTCATCCATAAATAGCCTACAGAACAAATAACAGCTTTTTGTCACACAAATTAACATTTCAATTAGTTATTAAAAGACATCTTAGACTAAGAAAATAATTTATACGAAAATTCAATTTTTTAACAGTGTTGAGATATATAAAGCATAGATGAATAGATATAGCTGTGATACAATAGGTGAGCAACCACTAAAATAATAGTACTCTGACACAAAACCATGACTAGATTCGTGTTTTTTATGACTAAGGTGACACTATAAACAATCACTATAAACAATCGTTTCATCTTTCTCAATAATTTAAAAATTGTAATTTTCAATAAAAAATTCAATGTTCTGTTCCATTGTGTTCTGTATTTCAGGAATATTCATGTCCTACCATTTATAATCAAGTACTGTAATATAAATCCCGAGGGACAATTATTCAGTGTAATTATTTTTTGCTACTACAAATTTGAAACTAATTATCTATCATAACATTCAAAAAGGGTCAATAATTGTTCTTTTTCCTTTTCTTTTGTTGGATCCTAAAAATCTCAGTGCTTAATTAAAGTAGTCATATTAGTCTGATACACTTACTTAAGCTCTCCAGGACACGTATGTAAGGCAACTGATCAATGTTTCTCTCTCACATCAATGTTTCTCTCCCTCTCTCCTTTCCTCTTTTTCTAAAATCAACAAAAAATATATCCTGCTGAAACCGGTTTGGCTCAGTGGATAGAGCGTCAGCCTGCAGACTGAAAGGTCCCAGGTTTGATTCCGGTCAAGGGCATGTACCTTGGTTGCAGGCACATCCCTGGTAGGGGGGGTGTAGGAGGCAGCTGATCGCTGTTTCTCTCTTATCAATGTTTCCAATTCTCTATCCTCTCCCTTCCTCTCTGTAAAATCAATAAAATATATATTTTTTAAAAAATATCCTCAAGTGAGGATTTAAAAAAAGAAAAAAGAAGGGAAGTGTCATGTTAAACAATGATGGAGTTTTCTCTGCAAAGAATCTCTTTTTTTTAAAAAGTCATAAAAGAGCTAGCAATCCCATATAATAAAAGCCTAATATGCTAAGTGTCCAGTCATCCAGTTGTCTGTTCAACCAATCAAAGTGTAATATGCTCATGATATGCTAAGGCTGCTCAACTGCTCGCTATGACGTGCACTGACCACCAGAGGGCAGAAGTTGACCCATCAACCAGTCGCCATTACATGCACTGACCACCAGGGGGAAGACGCTCCAACTGGTAGGTTAGCTTGCTGCTGGGGTCCAGGTGATTAGGACTGTGTGAGATGGACAAGACACACCCTGGAGCCCTCCCATAATCCCTCCCTCTCTGGCTAACCTCTCAGATTCTTCCCTGGCCCCAATCATGCATCAGTGGGGTCCCTCAGCTTAGCCTATGCCCTCTCGCAATCTGGGACCCCTTGTGAGATGTCAGAGAGCTGGTTTTGTAGGAGCTGCCTCCTAGTGGTCAGTGTGCTCCCACAGGGGGACACCGCTCATCCAGAAGCCAGTCTCACAGCTGGCGAGTGCAGCAGTGGTGGCAGAGGCCCGTCAGTCAGACATTGCCCAAGGGCTCCAGGTCTGCAAGAGGGGGCAGGCCGGGCTGAGGGACAATCCCCAGCCCTCCTCCACAAGTGCATGAATATCATGCACCGGGCCTCTAGCAAGATATAATAATCTATGATATTGACTGTCTTTCTCTTTAGGTAAGATTATCGTGATGCCTAGCCACAAGATGGGCAATCATAAACTGATTGGTTGGATTTGGCAGTCTCAACAATAAACCGAATAATATTCTGAAAATATTCAATAACAGATCATGAACTTGTTAACAGTGGACAACTACATCCAAACTGCTGTTATTACAACCAAAACAATACAAGAGTGTTTAAGGGGATATCTCTTTCAGATGTCTGAGCACTCTCTCATTTGGAAAAGAACAGATTATTATTGTACTTGTTGCTTACATTTTCTCCCCATAATCAAAGGGATTCATAGCAGTAGGAGACACTGCATTGACCTAAATGAAATGCAAAAAAGAACTGATATTCTAAGAAGTGCACGGTGTTAACCATGTCTTTTTATTTTCTGTATCTTAATGCTTTGAAATTGGGACCTTGATGACTCCAGAGGGACTGCAAACCAACCAATCCAGAGCCCACACCCCCAGCCGCCTCCTCCCTGCTCCCACACTCAGGGCAGCTGTTCCCCTGCCCTAATCACCCCAGAGCTGGCTACCTGACAACTAAGGGACAGCTCCTGTGCTCCAGACCCTACTGGAATTATCGGAATTAGATAATCCTAAACCTGTTTCTTTTTGCAGAAACCACTGTCAAGGCTTTTGCCAACATTTCTCCCTACTCCGTCTGCCTCTGACTTACCCATGCTTCCCTGTGTGATCCTCACGATGGGGTGTGTCCTTTCCTCTCGGGATCTGTGAGCATAATAAATTTTCATTTTCATGGCAGTCATCCCCTGATCTGTCAGCCTTGCCATACCTAAGTAACAATGAAACCTGTATTTTAAAATACTCCTGAGAACTTCAACTATGATTTTTCTTTACCTAAAAATAATATATTAGAGTTGAAAGACACTATATAAATAATGTAATTCTGTTGGAGGTGAAAATGGCACTGAAGTATTATCAGCAAATGGACCTCGGTTTAGCAACCTTAGTCCCCCCGAGTTATGGCTAAGAAAGAATTCAGAACTAAGATGCAAACACAAGCAAAAGTTTATTTAGGAAGTCACAGAGCTGGAAGAACTGAGTGATGGAAGAAGTGAGCCAGCTGAGCTGCATGGGCTCAGAGAACAAGTTACAGAAGCAAACTTAGGAGCAACGGGGACAAGGAAAATACTTCTAGCGGAAGAGGTTGAGGAAAGGTGCCAGTGTGCTCCAGAGAGAGCTGGGTACTGGGTTCTCTGTCTTAAGGGTAATTTATCTGTTGGTTGCAGGGGATTATCCCAATAGATTATTCATCAGCTATCCAGGTGTGAATAATACTTACAGGGTCATGGTCTCCATTGACTGGTCAGTGCCAGGGCAAGGGGTCATTAATCAACACAGCTGGTCCTGAGGCAGCCACAGTGTCTCTTGTCTGGTTTTGATGCTTTTCTGGGCCTAGAGCAGAAACACACTGTGGCCTAGATATATTTGATTCCATCAGAACCTCATTGTCCTGGGTACTTAATATTTAAGGACTCTTTTCTGGCCCCCTTTCTGTTCCTCCTCTAAGGGGGTTTAACCTGCATGACTAGCAACATGCCAAGGGGAAAAGGTCAGGGGAGGGTCTGAACTGCATGGCCAACCATATGCTAGGGGAGGAAAGGTCACCCTGGGATCAGAGTCCTTGTTCGCCCAGTTTTGCACATTGCTAGCCACCCAGGGCTTTCTGCCCTGCTGATCTTCTGTACCTGGTCCATCAACCTTGCTCAGCTCATGTGTGTCTAACTGCCTAACACAGTTCAACCCATATCACTGATAAATTTAATAACAGACTCCAGGGTGGCCACTAGTAAAATCATGTCCCCATTATGGCATGGTTTCCTGCTGAATCCAGATGTGACCAAGGACCAAGGAGCACTCCAGGCAGCTTCTATAGTCAGAGATCTGGCTTAAAGATGAAATCTATTCACCTCCCATGGACTGGTGCAGCTAGTAGCAGAGCCCTGACTGGATACAGGTTTTCTGTATCCCTACTTCAGTACCTTTATGATATGTCATCATCATCTTCCTCCTCCCTCACAAAGAAGAGTAGGTGATGGGGAAGAGAAACTTAATGAAGAAAAATAAACTTTACTGTTATTTCCCTTTAGAGTTGATGGTATGTGAGATTTAAATTTTTTTTTAATCAATCTTTATTGTTCATATTATTACAAAGGTTCCTCATTTCTTCTGCCCTCCCCAACCCCCATTGTCCTCATCCATAGGTGCACAGTTTATGTTTAGTCTCTTCCTCCCTCCCTTTCCCCGATAGTAAATCCCTTTAAAGATAGTAAATCAGTTACTTAGCATTTTCTCATATCAATAATACCTCCACATGCCCAATGATACACTTCACACAAAAGACATTTCCAAATAGGTCAACCAGCCTCATCCAGGCCCCACCCAAGGCACTCACAGATCAACACCCCAGCACTATACTAACTCAACACATCCAGATCTAAGCCTTCATCACTTGATTCAGCAGACCCTCAAGTTCCCACAAAAGTTTCCAGCCATGTCTGAGAGGCAGCCGTGGGGCAGGGGTAGGCGAGGAGCAAGCTGTTCCAGGCCTGGCTGCTTCGGGCCTGGCCTCTGTTGCTTTGGTTCGTTCCACAACCAGCTGCTCCGGGTCTGGTCACCGCCGCTCCTGACCTAGTTGCTCTGGACTTGGCAGCCGCTGCTCTGGGCCTGGCCTTTCCCAGCCTGGCAGCCGCTGCTCCGGGCCTGGCCGCACTCGACCCGGCTGCTCCGGGCCTGGCCGCTCCCAGCCTGGCAGCCGCTGCTCCTGGCCTGGCCGCACCCAACCCGGCTGCTCTGGGCCCAGCTGCCCCGGGCCCGGCTGCCCCAAGTCTGGCCGCTCCCGGCCTGGATGCTCCGGGCTTGGCTACTGCTGTTCTGGGCCTGGCTGCTCCCAACCCTGCTGCTCTGTGCCCAGCATCTCCGGGCCCGGCCGGTCCGGGTCTGGGTGTTCCTGGACTGGCCAACCTGGGCTTGGCCGCCTCTGCCTCAGGCCTGGCTGCCACTGCCCCAGGTCTGGCTGCTCCAGTGCTGGCTGTTGATGCTCTGGTTCTGGCTGCTGCTGCTCTGGGGCCTCGCCGTTGCTGCTCCGGGCCCGGCTGCCACTGCCTTGTGCCTGACCACTCTAGGCCTGGCCGCCGCTGTTCCAACATTCTGTCCTTTTTTTAAAAAAAAACAAAAACGCTGGCAGTAGGCCTGATCTCTGGGGTACAGTTAGGGAGACCCAGGACTCTGGCCCAAGTAGACTGGAGAATGGGCTGGGGCGGCCCCCTAGGGTCCTCAAATTAGCACCAGGAGGAAGGAGGGCCCAGTGAGGGTGGGAGCTCCGGACAAGTGGCTCACGTGACCCCGCCTTGTGCAGGGTGCTAGGCTTGGCACATTCTGGGCAGTGGAGGGGCCACAGCCTGGGGCAGGGAGCTCCCCCTGAGTTGCAGCAGGAGACCCCATTGGCTACCCAGCCCAATGGGAGCCTCCCCCACCTCGTTGGAAGGGGTGAGGGGTGAGGGCCTCTCCTGCTCTGGGCAGCTGACACCCAGGCGTGCACACACCTCTCCCAGGTTGCAGCCACACTCATCCTCAGAGGCACATTCATGCCCATGCTTATGCGCCCTCTCCTGTGTAGGCTATAGGATGACCGGGCCCCATCTGGGCCCCTCCTCTGGCCCCCAAACCTGGTGCCCAGGCTGAGGTAGCCCCCCCTCACCACTGCCTCCGAGGAGGAGCTGTGCAAGGGCTGCCTGAAATCAGCCCGGCCTGCCTCAGCTCTGCCCCCTGGTGGTGGGAGGAGAGGCCCTCTCTGAGGTGGCCCCAAGCAGTGGCATGGACCCCCTCCCTCCTCAAGCCGCCAGGTCCTCGAGCCGAGCGCCGACGCTGAAGTGCCCTTGCCGCCCCCTCTGCTTTCGATGTGTGACAGGCCCGTGTTCCTGACCTTCCCAGAGAAGCAAATAAACCCCGTGAATGCCAAACAAACAAAAAAAAAAAAAAAAAAAAAAAAACGCATTCATGTTGCAATGTTGGCTGGTGAGTTGAGTTCTGAGTTAGTCTTTGATTTTTTCAAGATCTTCTTTGTATTCTTTCTTAAGTAATTTTACTATCTTTTGCTCTTACTTGATTTCTTCACATTGAGAACTTCTTTGGTTTCTTCCTCCTTGTCCTGGGAGCTCAGCAGGTTGGCCTGTGGCACCCCTTTGTTCTCCGTGGGCTCCTGCACTGCTTCAGCCTGTTGCCGGGGTCGGCGCCGCCCAGGAAGCAGCCCCCGGTCTTGGCTCCGTTGCCCTCGCTCAGTGGTCGAGGGCTCAGGGGCACCCCCCCACCCGGGGGCCCCGTCGCCTGGCTCCTTGCTGGTGCCCGGCTGGCCAGTGTCTGGCAGGGGCTCCTGCTCCTTGTCACGTTCCTCCAGTCTGGAGCTTTTTTTTTCTCCTTCCCTCTAGGGGAGTCTAGAATCAGAGTCAACAGTCTGTCCTCACAGCCCCGTCTCCCCCTGCCTGAGCCTGGGTCCCCAGGGTCTGGCCTAGGACTGGGGTTCAGAGCAGTTGAAGCTGGGGCCCAACAAGCCCGGGGCTCCTGTTTCCTTCCCTCCAGGGCAATCCTGCATCAGAGTCAACATTCCTTCCCTTGCAAGCAATGTGCGTGACTCCGGGGGCTCGGCTTTTCGCTGCGCTCCCAGGACTCCACCTCACAGCCCCGTCTCCCTCTGCTTGAGCTTGGGTCCCCAGGGATTGGCCTAGAGCTGGGGTTCAGAGCAGTCCAGACTGAGGCTCAGCGCTGCCGGAGGCTTTGTTTCTTCCGGCTAGGGTAATCCAGCATCAGAGTCAACATTCAGTCCTCTGCGCACAATGTGCGCGCGACTCTGGGGGCCCTGCTTTTCGCTGCTCCCCTGGGATTCCGCCTCACAGCCCTGTCTCCCTCTGCCGGAGCCTGGGTCCCCAGGGTCTGGCCCATAACTGGGGCTCAGCGCTGCCAGTTCGGGGGTTCAGCCCAGGCTGGGGGTTTTATTTCCTTCCTGCTAGGGAACGCCAGGCAGCACCCAGCCCTCTCCTCCTCTCCGGCTGCGACCTCTCTGCGCGCGCGTGCAAGCGTGCAGCATGTCTCCGTACCTTAGGCTTTTTTTCAGCTCCTCTGATTTTCCTTCTGGTTTTCTCTTTCCTTCTTGTTGTATTGTAGAATTTTCAGTCGGTCGACTACCTGTAGCTCTGGGCGATGTCCACTCTACATTTTAGTTGTATTCCACTGAAATTGTTGTGTGCTGCTGCGGTTAGATGTCTACCCAAGCAGCCATCTTGGATCCTCTCCTGAAGATATCTTTCTATTGCCTTCTAGCTTTCATTATTTCTGCTGAGCACCTGTCAGTATTATTGCTCCTTTAAGATTTCCCCCTTATCTTTATATTTCAGCAGTTACCCCACAGTAGGCCCTAGTTCAGGTTTCTTGATTTCTTCTGCTTGGGTTTTAAAGTGATTCTTAAATCTGTGGCTTAATGTCTCCCACCAACTTTGGAAAATTGTTGACCACTATCAAATATTGCTTCATTTCTCTTCAATTCTCTTCTCTCCTTTCAAGATTTAAATTTTTAATATCTAAGTACATAATTTTATACAATGATGTATACTACATTTAAAATTAGAAAAATAAAAACAAATACAACAAAAATATGTTATAATAAAGACAATAATTGATTGGTCTCATGTTCTAACTACTAAAGGTGTAATGTTCTCAGTTCAACAGAAATTTATTAAATGTCTACAAAGTACAAAGCACTTATATAAATCTGCTGAGGGACTTGCCCCACACTCTCAAAACTTTATGGCTATGGTTTTCAATAGCTTCAAGAAAATGTAATAGTCAACAAAAATGAATTCAATTTCCAAACATTTATTTGAGGTAGCTAATATAACTTCTTTTATCCCTTTTGTCTTCATTTCTGAATTCTGTATGTTTTTTCAAGATCTTGGCTTACTCCTATTTACATTTTAGCTAATACAGATTTTAAAATTATTTATATTTTAATATTTATTTCAGGACTACTTTTAAGTCTTTGTGAGACAAGTAAGGAAATGACCAAATAAAAGAATAAATCATGTAAATCATAAAACTGGAAAATGAGTCTTTATGCAAATGTACTTTTCAATTTATATGTGCTACATATTAATTTTCCATTCTTTTTTTTAATTGTTATTATCAGAGTATCTGTATTACCTCCACCCTCTACAGGATGTTATTTCAAATGTGTCTGGTATTTCAAATAACTTCAATGAAACTGTTTCTATCCTATAAAAGGAGATATGTAAGTTTTAAACCATTAACCAACATAAAAACTTTAAGAAACATTCCTTGTCAGTTAAATGTTTACTCAATGGGTGGACCATTCATAGTGGGAGGGGGAATGCCAAAAATATGGATTTTAGAGGTTTATTAATTATATTACTTTTAATCAATATTAATTGAATTAATTCTTTTTCTTTTTCCTCCTCATATTAAAAATGTGGCTCCTTTGACCAGTTTATCATTGATTGTTGTCTACAAAATAAAACAAGACAAAAAGCCTATGGCCTTTTCTAAATAAATGAGATAAATGTCCATCTATATAGTGTGTCATTTTTCCTAAGAATCCTGCAATGCTGTTCAAAGATCATGCCTTTGTACCACCCTCCTGGCTAGAAAAGCACACTGCCATGAAATGCCATGTCATTGGGTAAATAGAACTTGACTTTGTGTTGCAAGATAAAGGGAACAGTGTTGTACAAAGCAGCATCATTCCCTATGTTACTGAAAATTGCTCCCATCCATCAAAGTGTTTCCCAGGCATTCTGCAGGAGTGAGCTGTGTAGGCTGCGGGCATCTGCAATACAGATACAGCAGAGACCACTGGTACCCTAGCTTTTGCTGCTGATTAGATAACTCTTTGTTCTAATGAGGCAGTTACCCTATTCTAAAGAATATAATTCTCTTTCTTTCTCCCTCCTTTCCTTCCTCCCTCCCTTCCTCTTAAACTTTGTCTTAGGGACCAGCACCATTTCTTTCCACACCCTTCTTCCCACTTTCTCATGCGCACAGCATCCCATTCTGTGCTCAAGCTCTTCGTAGCCAACCACCATCACTTACAAACACACACACACACACACACACACACACACACTCACACACACTCCTAACCTTTCTCTTCTCCCCACAACAGCTTTCTTTTCTTGATCCTAGTTATTAAGGGGAAAATATTAGGTAGTGAATGGCCAATCACCATTTGGATTTTTTCACCATTTGCATTTTAAAAGGATGTGTAATTGACATACGGAAAGTATAAAAATGTAAAATGATGAACTGCAGAATTGTAGATTGCAGATGAGAGCAGACTGAACATAAGGAACCTTCTGAGAGCTCATATAGGAGAGATGGCTAGCTTTGGTAAATGGTATTGATAGTTGATACCAAATTGGGGAACATGGGTTTTGGAACAAATAATACTATAATGTTTGAGAATATCTGTGAAATTCACAGAAGACATTTAAAACGGAATTTCTAGAAAGTTTTTTTTTTTCCCCCAGGAGAATCTATTCATAAAACAAAAATTCAAGGCAAACTTCACTGTGAAATTGCCGGTGATTATTTCAGACACAAATCCAGAGCAGATTACATCACTTCTTAATTATAATGTAAGGAGCATAGGCTTTTCAGAGCTCTAAATAAAGTCGGGTAGCAACGTGGTTTAAAAAAAAAAATGCACATGATACGTTACTAATCTTCCTCTGAGAGTTAACAAAATACAAACCCTAAGATGTCATACAGTAAGAATGTTAAAACTGCTCATACCATATTAGGCAAAAAGCTTATGCTATGATTAACTAGCATATTTTTCCTTTTGATTTGGTAACCATCATATTGGTTTGGGGAAACAGGAAACATTTTAAATCAATTGTAAGCTATTTGATTTCCATATTGTAGCTACAGAAACTATAACTTTTTCTAATATTAAATTATTATTTTTAAAAAGAGCCTTGTTTATAATAGAACAATATTTGTTGGTAGTACAAAAAATCAAAACGTCTCACTTTTTTCTATTTGTTTTGACATGAAGAAAGTTTTAGGTACTTGTATTTAGAAGAAAATTATTATTTATTGAGAATTTGCTATATGCCAGTGTTCTGGACTGGACACTAATTTGTAAGCTCTCATTTATCTAGCACAGTGGTTGGCAAACTATGGCTCGCAAGTCACATGTGGCTCTTTGGCCCCTTGAGTTTTTAGCAAAGGCCAGCTTAGGAGTACCCTAAGTAAGTTAATAGCAATGTACCTACAGTATAGTTTAAGTTTAAAAATTTGGCTCTCAAAAGAAATTTCAATTGTTGTACTGTTGATATTTGGCTCTGTTAACTAATGAGTTTGCCATCCACTGATCTAGCATAAACATTGTACCAGAGCAACTAAAAAAAGTAGTTTATTGTCAATACTATCAATAATATAGTCTTTATCCATTATTTTATGATTTACAAATAAATTTTATGTAATTTTATTTTTAATCAGTTTATATATTCATAGTTTAAAAAATTAAGTAGTTCCACAAAGTTGATGAAAAACAGTAATCCAAGAGTTTCATGTGCTTCCCTCCCAAATCTCGTTTCCAAGGGATGCAGGAAGCCACCTATTGCCTCACTAGCAGAAAGGGGTGGACAAGGAGTCCAGAAGGCTGGTCAGACTTGAGGCTCTGGCAAGGGTCAGAGCCTTACACCCCCTGTGGATTTGAGACAAAGGAACTGAAGCAACTTCCACCTTTTAGTCTCATGTAAATCCTTGTTGATAGTCTATCACGGAACTATTACTGGAATTGCCTGCCTATGGGCTATGCGTGTATCCCAAACCTGAATAAAAGGAATGGCGAGGCCAGAGCAAATTGGAGTCCTTTCTTGAGATTCCGCCTGGCCCCCAAAGTCCAAATTAGTATTTCTTGTCTCTTTCATTTGTGCGCAGCCTCCTCCAAAGCCCGAACCTGAACCCTGAACCTGAACCCTGAACCACATGGGATGTGGGATATTCGCAAAGGGTAATTTCAATCCTTTTTTAATGTTTCTTTTAGTATTTAGAGCCATATTTCTATTCTTCTTAATACTGCTATTCTAAATTTTTTTCAATTTTATATATCTATCAACGTTCTATTATGGAAGATGAAAATATAGTTCTGTTACATACTTACTGTCCTCCCCCAACACCTATCCCACACCCACAGATCTCTCACATATCTCCTCCTTCCCATAATGTATTATTGTCTCAGCTTTTGATTAGATCAATAGTCAGTATTTACCCTGTTTCCCCGAAAATAAGACAGTGTCTTATATTAATTTTTTCTCCCAAAGTTGCGCTAAGTCTTATTTTCAGGGGATGTCTTATCTTTCCATGTGCTAGGTCTTATTTTGGGAGGGAGGATGTCTTATTTTTGGAGAAACACAGTACATATCATTTATGTTGATATGACCATGAGATATTTTTTTTATTGCTGAGCCATGTAATATGATTATATTTCCTCTCTTGTACAACTTTTTGTTTTCCTGGAATTTGTTTTGTCACTTGTTTAGTTCTCTATGTATCTTACATTAATTTACCCTACACACTCTTCTAGAACTGTAAATCTTCTCTCAACATGTTTTTCAAAGATATTAAGTGTTAGGACTATAAGGCAATATGATACTTAGCCATGTGTAAGCTTCCCACTGCAGGAGAATAAAAGACCAGGAAAAACTTGCTGGACACCAGAGTCAGACCATACTAGGAATGGAAACTGTCCTGAAGACACCTGATCGCGCACCTGCATTCTATCTGCTTTCCAAGCTCACTAGCTCAGCCCCCGAACCAACTGACAAGTTCTCCCGGCTCCACCGCTGAAAGGGACTGTGACTGAAAGGCAACTTGTAAAACCAGGATTGCTGCTTGTTGCCAGGGTGAGTGTAAGAAGGAACGTGGGACAGGGGCACTGCCAAGGAACAAGCCTTGAGAAACAACCAAACCAGCATATCAGTGGATTTCTCTGAGATAGCTTCTTCCCTACCTCAAACAAGCTATCAACATTCAAAATCTTGCAAAATTACCACAGAAAATATTCAATATAAACTCTTACCTCTTTTTCTTTGGGACCAAAAGAATTGCCCAAGGACCCAATAATCTCCAACACAAGTCATCTCAAATTCCAATACTGGACCCACACAGATACTCTGTTAAAATGAACAAACAGAAAAACAATTTTCAGAAAATTTACACACACACACACACACACACACACACACACTGCAAAGATTGGAGTAAAGTGATGTTATAATGTTTCTGAATAGAAAGACTCAACATGACGAAGATGACAATTTGCCCCAAATTAATCTCTAATGTTTATACTATCCCAACCCAAATCCTGAATTTCTACCAGAATTTCCTCTACTCATTCTCCAAAGCCCAGCACTTTTTCCTCAGGTAAATAATTATGAGCAAAGCCTATATGACTGCCTTTGATCTGGTCCCACATATATCGATATACCACCTGACAGAAACTCCTTGAAATATGTGGCATGGATAGGGCAGTTTTCTTCCTATCCCAGTACTAATGCAAGTTGTTTTAATTATCCATTGCTGTATAATACACAACCCCAATACTTACTAACTTAAAACAGTAATTATTTGTTTGCTTGTGATTGGTTTGCATTTGCACAGGGCTGAAGGGGGCAGTTCATCTCTGCTCCCCCATGACACTAGCCAGGTTGATTTAATTAAGGCTGAGGGTTGAGGGGGGGATTTCAGAGGCAGAGGTCCACTTCCAAGACGGCTCTAGCTTGGTGCTGTCAGTCACATGGGAGCTCAGTGGTGCTGTTTGCTGGAGGGTTTTAATGGGCCTTTCCATTTGACTGCATCAGTTTCCTCAGAGCATGGCCACTGTGATTCAGGAGGAGGAATGCCTGTGCTCAGAGAGCCAGAATGTGACCTCTCTGCAGCCACCTGGACAAAGCAGTGACAGGCCCAGATCAGATTCAAGAAGAGAAGACACAGATCCCTGTCCTGAGGGAAGGAGCTGCATGCATGTACAGGGAGGGGCAGAATTATTTGGGGACCATCTTTGGAGATTATTTACTACTTGGGTTGTTCCTTGATTTTTCATTCTATTGGTCATTTTGATCAGTTTTCATAAAGAAGGTGCAAATGTCCTAGGTTAAGCCACAACCCTTCTGAGAAGTAGTCCCAAATAATTGTTAATTAAATTATAACTCATATTATGGAAGTCAGACCTGATACATATATTTTTTTTATTTAGATATCCAGTTATTCCAAGAGATTTTTTTCCCCCTTTCTCCACTGAATTGTTTTGGAGTCTTTGTTGAAAAATCAATTGGCCATATTTATGTGGGTCTATTTCTGAATTCTGTTTCAATGATCTATGTGTCTTGTTTATTGTACCTTTATTAAAAGTTTATAATTAGAGAGTTTTGGTTCTTCAACTTTGTTCTTTTTCAAAATTGTTTTGGCTATCTTGGGCTTTTGCATAACTTTTAAATCAGCTTGAAATTTTCAACAAAATAAGACTTCTGGGATTTTTATTGGAATTACGTTGAATCTATAGATCTTTTGGAGAAAACTGATAACAAATAATATTGAGTGTTATGATCATGTAGATAATATATATCTCTATTTATTTAAGTCTCCTTTAATTTCTCTTAAGCAATAAATATCAAATAATTTAATCTTAAATGTTTGCTTAAATAAGTAAATAAATAACACTCTTCAGGCATGAAACCTCAATCACTGATTAATGTGCAAAGGACTGTGTGTGGGAAAAAAAAAATTCTGTTGAGGGCATAGAGTATTAGATTGCTAGGATAAGTAAAATATTTTCCCATCACTGTATTTGGCTTAATAATTGCAAGTGCAGGTAATGGATAACCGTATGAAGTTAGATTTATAATTGGCCATCAAGAGAATTGGATTCTTGTATCTAATTTACCTGCAGAGCATGTGACCTTTACTTCATTTGCATCTAAAAATAGGGTTAATCAGATAGTCCCCTACTTATTTTATGAGAGTACTGAGAGGAATTTAAATTAAGGAGTGGCTGACAAAATGGTGATTGTGAATATGCTTTTGAAAATGCATTAAATGCTAGATCTTTGGAGTGACCAATGTTCCAATAGATGTACAAGAAAAAATGTCACACGGATGCACTCTTCTTTCCTTTTTTAATCCTCACCTGAGGACATGCTTAGAGAGAGGAAGTGGGGGGGGGGGAGGAGAGAGGGAGAAAAAGAGAGAGAGAGAGGGAGAAAAAGAGAGAGAAACACTGATGTGAGAGAGAAACATCAATTGGTTGCCTCCTGTACATGCCCCAGAAGCAACCTTTCAGTTCACAGCTCAACCAACCGAGCCACTCTGGCCAGGCCACAGGTGCACTCTTATGTGCCATCAGAGAAGTCCATAAAAATCAGAGTTGCACAACAGGCCAGACCTTTCAGAGAGCTCTCTCAGCACATCAAAACTATTTCATGAAGAGCAAATTCTATATAATAAAGGGATAAAATGCAAATCGACCAAACGGTGGAATGACCAGTGGGAACTGTGCAGGAGGCAGCTGATCGATGTTTCTCTCTCATCGATGTTTCTGACTGTCTATCCCTCTTCCTTCCTCTCTGTAAAAAAATCAATAAAATATTTTTTAAAAATACTGTTATGTGAATGAGCATTCTCAAGGTATCTTATGATACTGTACTTCTCTTTGGTATATCTGAATAACCAACATCATTAATAACTTTTGCGCTTTGGGGCCATTATGAAATAAAATAAGTGTTACTTGAACACAAGTACTGGGACATTCAATTCAATAACCAAGAGGGCTACTAAGTGGCTAAGGAGAGCGTATATAGTGTGGATAGGTGGACAAAGGAATGGATTCATGCCCCAGGTGGGCAGAGTGGCGAGACATCAAGAGATTTCTTGACGTTGCCGAAACCGGTTCGGCTCAGTGGATAGAGCATCTGCCTGCGGACTGAAAGGTCCCAGGTTCCATTCCGGTCAAGGGCATGTACCTTGGTTGGGCACATCCCCAGTGAGGGGTGTGCAAGAGGCAGCTGATCTCTCTCATCGATGTTTCTATCCCTCTATCCCTCTCTCTCTTCCTCTCTATAAAAAAATCAATAAAATATATTTAAAAAAAGAGAGAGAGATTTCATGACGCTATTCAGAATGGCTCTCTATTCTATTTTGAAATACAAAAACAACTGAAGCAAAGTTTAGGCTGGCTTTTGGGGAAACCTTTTAGTCTTTGGCTTGGTTCTCTGAATTATTAACCGTTTCAGACTTCTACTTTGTCCAGCCACGAGGTGCGGGCTGGGAGTGCGTTTTCGACTTTGTTCCACATTTCTGCTTACTCTGCCCCGGGGATGCTGTCCGCTCCAGGGAACCAGGTGTGTGTCCCCGGCACGTCCTGGGTCCCGGGGAGTGTGGGCGCCGCGCGGGCGAACCTCAGGAGGGCCCTCTCGGCCGGCCGGCTGGCTTCTCTCCGCCAGAAGCCGCGCTCCCGGGGCCCCGGCCCGCCCACCGCCCAGCGGGCTCCGGGGGGCGCGGGGCCCGCCACCGGCCAGCGCCCGGGCGGAGCCGGCGGAGCGGTCCCCGCGGAGCATGCGCACACCGAGCCCGGCGCGGCGCGAGCCCGGCGCATGCTCCGCAGCGCGGCGGGTCCGCCGATGTGGGGAGTGGAGTCTCCCGCGCCCGGCCATCCCCGGCGGAGCTGCCGCGGAGCCGCTCGTTCTCAGCCCCCATCGCCCATAAAGTTCGTTTTTAAAAAAATCCTAGTCCTTCTTAAGAGAGCGAGAGAGGGCGCGAGGCGGCCGGGCGGCCCCGCCGGGGGAGCGGGCGCGCTGGGCGGCGGCGGCGGCGGCGGCAGCGGTTGCGCCGCGACCAGGAGGAGCCGGGCGCGCCGGGCGGGCTGCGGGGCTGCGGCCGCCGGGGACGGTGAGTAGCGGCTCGCCCTCCGGGGCGGCGGCGTGGACTCCCTCGCCTTCTCCGAGGGCGGAGGTCCCCTCCGGGGCAGGATCGGCTCTCCCCGGCGTCCCGGGATGTGCCTCTCTCCAGGGGCTGGAGGGGGGTTTGGTTTGGGGGTCAGGAGGCTCCAGGCCCGGCTCCCATCCCCCGGCCCAGGCCGCCCGGCGCCCGCCTCCCCGCCTCCGAGCGCGGGGTCCCCGGTGCGGCCGGAGGAGGTGGGCGGCGGCGCCCCGCCGTCCCGGCTTCCTGGGTGTGGGTGCCTGGGATCGCCCCTGGGGCGGGAGAGCGGGGTGGAGCGGTGCGGGGCGCTGCCTCCATCCTGGCGGGGCTCCCGGCCGCTCGCTCTCCCCCGGCCCCCGGGCGGGGCGGGACCCCAGCGGAGGGGCGATCGGGGCCCGGGTTGGGTTTGATGGGGAGCGGGCGGGGTCCAGAGCTCCGCCCTGGCTCTCAGACCCCTCTCCCGCCTCGGGGGCCCCACCCTCGCCCAGGTTCTCGCCCAGACAGCCGGGGTATGAATGAGCCGGGCTGCACACTCTCATTGGCTCTGGGTGTCACCGATCGGCTTTACTCCGCCGCTCCCCCCGCAGGGGAACCCGCGGCTGCAAACTTCGCCGTCTAGTAGCGGGGGCTCTGAAGAAGGCCGTTTGTTTCCGTAGGTTTTCTGTAACTCCTAGCATCGAGGTAATTTTCATGGAACCCAAGACATGTTTCGGTATTTTTAAAATGTGATCACAGCTGTATTTCAGTGCTGGCTGGGACGAAGAAAAAAAAACAAAAACCAACCACACCTCTTTTGATCAGTGAGTTAACGCGTCCTTTCCCTTTCTAATACAGAAGACTGCATTAGTTGGCAAAACAAAACAAAACAAACAAACAAAAAACTTTAAAATTAAATTTGCGGTAAAAAGTATGTGGAGCGTTACTGTCAAGCTTTTGAATTGTACTCAGTCAGGATTGTGCTTATTTTCTAAGAACTTAATTGTTTTGAGATAGTGCTTTAAGACCATAGAGTAGTGGCTGCCAATCAAAAAACGGTGTTAAAATCTGATATAACTTTTCTTCCTTCAAATTTTATTATTTTTTTAAATGAGATTCATGTAACCACCATGGCAGTCAGGATGTAGGACAGTTCTACTACCTCCCCCCAAAAACCCTGATATCCTTTCCCTAACTCATCAATTACAGATACTCCTCAATTTACGGTGGGGTTAGGACCTGATAAACCCACTATAAGTTGAAAATAATTTGAAATGCATTTAATACATACTATGCTGTAGGGCAGTGTTTCCCAAACCTTTGACATATGTGTACCCCTTCTCTAATTTTCGTAACGCTGAGTACCCCTCGTACTCATGAGAACGTAGAATTAGGCGCAGTTAAGCATGGTGCAGTGCATATCCCCACCAAACTCTGGTGCAACGCTTACCCCTGGGGGTACGTGTACCACACTTTGGGAAACACTGCTGCAGGGTATCGGTTGTTTACCCTCCTTATTTCCTGGCTGAGTGGAAGCTGCCACATACCCCTTCCCCCATTCCTCATGTCCCCTCCCACTCTTGATGCTACAGTCCAGCATCACAAGAGTATAATCATACTGTATGTCACTAGCCTGAGAAAAGGTCAAAATGCAAAATTTGAAGTATGGCTTCTACTGAGTTCTTATTATTTTTACACCATTGTAAAGTTGAAAATTATAAGTCAAACCATGTAAGTCTGGGACCATCTGCACTGTTCTTTCCTAGAATCTATATATATATATATAAAGAGCCAGGGTCGTAACATCCAAAATGACTGAAGGCTGCACATGCAGCAGGCAAGCAGACTGAACTGCTGACCTCTCTGGGAAAGAGAGAGCAGCAGGGCTGATCAGCATTGATGATGGCTGTCAGCAAGGTCCAGAGAGAGAAGCAAGGTGATCAGACCCTGCTGACTGGCATAGAAACCGACCAATCAGAACCTACTCTGGGTGAACTGTGAAGGCAGAACCTAAGGTGGGGGTTGAGGAGGGGTTTTAAGGGCAATCGCTGTTTGGAGGAAGGTATAAAAAAGCGATTCAATTTTTTAAGGACCGTTTGGCAGTATAGTGCATATGGCTGGCTATCAGTCCAGATATAGGGATTATGTGTTTTTGTCTGCCAAGAGCATCTCCTTCTGATGAAAAAAGCTCCCCCGCCCCCCCCCCCCCCCATTTAAGCAATCCTATTCTATATAACCTATCTATACTAAATAAAGGGTAATATGCTAATTAGACTAGGTCGACCTGCCATCTTCCAGACGTCCAACTTCCTTCCAGACAAAGCCATGGTGGTGGGGGCTGAGGCAGAGGCAGTTAGGGGCGATCAGGCTGGCAGGGGAGGGCAGTTGGGGGCAATCAGGCAGGCAGGCAGGCAGAGGCAGTTAGGGGTGATCAGGTAGGTAGCGGGACAAGGTAGAGGTGATCAGGCCAGCAGAGGGGCAAGGTAGAGGTGATCAGGCCGGCAGGCAGAGGAGTTAGGGGCGATCAGGCAGGCAGGCAGGCAGGCGAGTGGTTAGGAGTAGTCATTCTAGGTTGTAAGAGGGATCCCATATTGGAGAGGGTGCAAGCCAGGCTGAGGAACCCCCCTCCATGCATGAATTTTGTGCACTGGGCCTCTAGTATCATATAAATGGAATCATGTAATATGTAACATTTTGATGCTGACTTCTTTCATGCCTTTTGAGATTCCTCCAAATTGTTGCATGTATCATCAATTTTTTTTAAGTTGCTAAGTAGGATACCATGATAAATGTGTCAGTTTATACACCCACCCATTGAAGGACATTTGGGTTGGTTCCAGTTTTGAGTGATTATGAATAGAACTGCTATCAACATTGATGTACAGGTTTTATTGTGAACCTAAGTATTCGTTTCTCTAGGCTATTGCTAGGGTCATGTGAAGTATAGTTAACTTTTAAGAAAATTTTACACTGACTTCCAGAGTGGCTGAATCACTTTGCATTTTGACCAGTGATGTGAGAGTACTAGTTACTCCACAACCTCTCTAGCACTTAGTATTGTCAATACTTTTAAGTTTAGCCATTCTAATAGGCTAGTAGTAGTGTCATGTGGTTTTAATGTGTCTTAAACTAATGGCTAAAGATGTTAACTATCTTTTCAGGTGCTTGTTAGAGTTCTTATGTTGAATTTTGAGGGTTCTTAATATGCTCTGATAAAAGTTATTTGTTCAACATGTGTTTTGCAAATATTTTCTCCCAGCCTGTAGCTTGTCTTTCACAGAGCAGATGTTTTAATTTTCAAGAAGTCTGATTTATCAGTTTTTAAAGAATAATGCCAAATTCCTGATCAAGAAGATTTTTACCTTCTAAAAATATTTTCTAAAAATTTTAATTTTACATTTATACCTATGATTCATTTAGGGGATTATTTGTATAAAATGTGAGGAGCCCGGCCGGCAACCTATGATCTAGGAGGTCATAGTTCAATTCCCAGTCAGGGCATGTGCCCAGGTTGCTGGCTCTATCCCCAGTGGGGGGCTTGCAGGAGGCAGCAAATTAATGATTCTCTCTAATTATTGATGATTCTATCTTGCTCTTCACATATATGTATGTGAAGAGCAAGATAGAATCATCAATTTTATATATATATATATATTTATTTATTTATTTATATATATGTGTGTGTGTGTGTGTGTGTGTATATATATAGTTTAAAGTGTGAGGGGAAGATTTACTTTTTTAAAATACAAATGTCCACTTGTTCCATCACCATATGTTGAAAAGACTGTCTTTCTCCATTGAATTGTTTTTGCACTTTTGTAAAAAAAAAAAAAATCAGTTGGCTATATTTGTGTGTATCTAATGTGAGGACCTCTGTTCTATTACATTGATTTATGTATCTTTCTCTGCTTGAATATACTTTTTCAATTAACAAAGCTGTATAGTATATTGATATCAAGTAATAAGACTTCCTCCAATTTTATTCTTGTTCAAAATTGTTTTAGCTGTCCTAGTTCCTTTGTCTTTCCATATAAAGTTTAAAATCAACTTGTGTTAATTTTACAAAAAAAATTCTGCTGTTACTTTGGAATTGCATCAAACCATAGGTCAATTTGGGAGAACTGCTGTTTTTGCTTTATTGAGTCTTCTCATTATGAACATGATATAGCTTTTCATTTATTTCATTAGCATCTTTGTTTCATTAGCATTTTGTAGTTTTTAGCATACAGATCCTGCACGTTTTGTTAGATTTGTTCTAAAGTATTTAATATATTTGGAATTCTTATAAATGTCATCTAAAATTTTGTGGTTTCAAATTGTACATTGTTAGAGTATAGAAATACATGAGTGTTGTGTGCTGCTCTTTATTGTGCATCCTTACTAAACTCACTTGTTAGCTGCAGGGTTGTTGTCGTTGTTGTTGTTTTTAATTCCTTGGAGTTTTCTACATAAATACTCATGTCATCTGTGAATAGAGACAGCTTTTCTTTTTTCCCTAATCTGTAAGGTGCTTTTTTGCCTATTGCCCTGGCTAGGACTTCATGTATGATGAATAGGAGAAGTGAGAGTGGACATTTCCCATAAAGGGGAAAATGATCAGTCTTTCAGAATTAATTTTGATGTTAGCTTTATGCTGTTTTAATAGATGTCCTTTATCAGGTTGAAGAAGTCCTTTCTGTTTCTACTAGTTTGCTGAGATTTTTTTCTCACAAATGGCTGCTGAATTTTGTCCAATATTTTCTTTGCATTACTTGATATGGCAATGTGTTTTTTCTTCTTTACTCCATTAATATGGTGGGTTATATTGATTGATTTTTGAGTATTGAACCCACTGGTGTTAATTCTTTAAAAGTTTGGTAGAAGTCTTCGATGAAGTCACCTGAGCCTGGAGATTTCTTTTTGACTTTTAAGTTACAAATTCCATTTCCTTAAAAGTAATGGGGCCATTCAGATTATCTACAATATTTCATGGTGGGTGAGTTGTGGTAGTTTATACTTTTCAGGGAATTGGTCCATCCATCTAAGTTTTCAAATTTATGAAGAGTTGTTTGGTGTATTATCCTTTTGAGTCTGCAAAGTCTGTAATGATTGATATCCCTATTTTATTACTGATTTTGGTAATTTGTGGTTTCTTTTTGTCAATTTTATTGATCTTTTTAAAAATCCAGCTTTTTTTTCATTAATTTTATCTATTTTTCTGTTTTCAATCTTACTCATTTCTATCCTTTTGCTAACTTTGGGTTTATTTGCTCTTCTTTTTTTGTACTTTCTTGAAGTGGGAACTTAGATTATTGATTTGAGATTTTTCCTAAAATAAGCATTCACTGCTATAAATTTTCCCTTTGCATATTAGTTATGTCCCATAAATTTTGACATGTCTTCATTTTTATTAATTTCAATTACTTTTAAATTTTTTTCTTGAGCTTCTTCTTGGCCCACAGATTGTTTAGAGGTTTGTTGATAAAGATTCAAAAATGAACGACAGTATAGCCCCTCCTTTTAAAGAATTTACATTAGCTAAACAGTGGGGAGGGGGCCTTCATTGTGGAAACAAATTCTTGCAATTTGATATAATTATTTTTTGATAAAACAAGTATAGCTTATTTTATATTGTTCAGTTTTTATGTCATGAAAAAAATAACTTTATTTTCATTTTAAACTGCAGATTTGAAAAATAAGATCTGATCACCTGGAATTAAAGTTGGAACAGAAACCTTTTCAACTCCAAAAATGTTGGAGGAAGATATGGAAGTGGCCATCAAGATGGTGGTTGTCGGGAATGGAGCAGTTGGAAAATCAAGTATGATTCAGAGATATTGCAAAGGCATTTTTACAAAAGATTACAAGAAAACCATTGGAGTTGATTTTTTGGAGCGACAAATCCAGTATGTATTTGGCCATTTTATCTTCTAATTTTTGATTTGTGAACTGTGTCCAAGACTTTGCCAGAATAATAATAACTAATTACAGTACAGTCCAAGGTGAGGCATCTAGGGCAGGGGCTCATGAAATAGTTGGTTGTGGTTTTCAGTTACTCATGCTGAACATATCTTTATTTTTCCGTATTTCCCCACTTTCATCTTTTCCCTTCCTCTCTTACGTTCTTTTCCTATTCCTCTTGGTCTCCCTTTTCATCTTATATCTGTTCTGTATTTATTGGTGGCACTTTAAGCACTTCTTAAACACAAACTGATTCGTGACTCCAGTGAGATTCCATGCTCTATTTCATTTGAAAGTTACTTGTCTATCAGAATACTTCTCATTTCTTATATTATGGGATCCTTTTGTTTAGAATGTCTCGTCTCTTTTTAAAACTGGGCAAGACTATATAGAAGTTAGAGAGTTAATAATTGTTTTTACTCTAAAGAAATAAGAGAAAGCAGATTTGGGAGGATTAAATACTTCTGTGAAAAGGAACTCTTCAAGAAATCCTGTTTGATTCTAATCACATCAAAGTAACATTTTTGTCATTAGTTTTGAGAACTTTATAAGGTATCTTAAATTGTAAGAGAAAAACTATTGTAAAATGTATTATGGAAATAAGTAACATTAAACAAATCTGACTTGCCCAGACATTTGCACCCAAGATAATTGTGTTCATTGTTTTAAGGATTGTTGGATTTCTAATTTGTATTCTGTTACCCTGTTTGTAAAACTATTTTTGTGCCTGGCCGGTGTGGGTCAGTGTTTGAGCATTGACCTATGAATCAGGGGGTCACTATTTGGTTCCTGGTCAGGGCACATGCCCAGGTTACAGCCTCGATCCCCACAGGAGAAGCAGGGGATGCAGGAGGCAGTTGATCGATGATTCTCTCTCAAAGTTGATGTTCTCTCTCTCTCTCTGAAATCAATAAAAATATTTTTAAAAAGAGAAATTTAAAATATTTTTGTATTTGCTTCCTTTAGATATTTTAAGAAGATTGATGCTTGTGTTTTTGTACTTGTTATTTGAACCAAATGAATATTTTAAGTAGTATATAGTCGATTCTCATTATTTGTGGACTGCATTTGCAAATTTACCCACTTGCTGAAATTTATCTGTAACCCCAGAATCAATACTCCCAGTGCTTTGTGGTCATTCGTGGACATGCACAAAGCAGCAAAAACTTGAGTTACTCTATACACACATTCCCAGCCTAGGTGGAACAAGGCAGCCGTCTTTCTTTTTATTTAATCTCTCATACTGTAAACAAGTGTCGTTTTAGTGTTCTGTTTTTGTGCCACATTTTTGTTGGTGATTTCACTGTTTAAGATGGCCCCCAAACATAGTACTGAAATACTGTCTAGTGATCCTAAATGCAAGAAGGCTGTGTGTGTGATGTGCCTTACAGAGATAACATGTGTGTTAGATAAGTCTCCTTCAGGCATAAGTTATAGTGCTGTAGGCTGTGAGTTTAATGTTAATGAATTAACAACATATATGAAGTAAGATGTCTTCAAACAAAACCACACAAAACAAGGTTATGTATTGATCAGCTGATGAAAATGTAACCAGGGGCTCACAGGAACTTAACCTTGTATTTCCCCTAAGAGCAGTAGTTTAGTATTTGCTAATTCAGTGTTTGCTGTGACTTAACAGAATGTGAGCAAGACAATGGACTGTACGATAAAATAGAGTAAATTTTTGAGTTAAGGGCAACCAAGCAGGTAAGTTGCAGTTTTCCTTTCTAATTCTGTCAGTTGTGTACCAGAGGAGAGCAAGCACTGACCTGAGGGAATTCCTCTTTCCCAATACTGCTCGGCTGAGGCCACTAACTGTGACTGTTGTCAAAGGGGAAAACATGCCAGGTAAATTCAAATTGTGTAAAGCTAAAACTTTGCGGGGATGTCTTTCACCTTTACTTTTGCTTGGTAATTGTATCTGCATTTAAAACTACTCAGACTTTTTCAGAGTGAAAATAACTTGGTTTTAATACTTCCAAATTTGAAAAATAAAAATATACACAAAGCTATATTACTAAAGACATTTTCTTTACATTTGAAGTCTATCTCTTGTTTCAGAGTTAATGACGAAGATGTCAGATTAATGTTATGGGATACGGCAGGTCAAGAGGAATTCGATGCAATAACAAAGGCCTACTATCGAGGTAAATTGTGGGGGGTTTTGTTTGGGCATGTTCTTTTGGCTAAACAGAAATTTACTTTTAACTTTCTTTTCATAGAAAGGGTTCTCTTTAAGAATACTAAAACTAATTTCAAAGCAATTTTTAAAAATGCTAGATCGTTTTTCTTCAAAGGATCTTGATGAGTGGTAAATAGTATTTGTACTATAGGGTGCTAGTCTCTGCCTTTAGAATTACATGACTTATACAGGCATGCCCAGACCTAGTCAGTCAGCAACTGATAAACGCCTATCTCTGACCCCAAGGAAGTGACTAGATAGTCAGAGAGTGGAAACCATTATATAAAAAAGTAAAGCCCCTGTAAATGAGATGACATTTTATTACATGAAATTTCATCAGTAAAGCCTTTTCAGGGCTGTAGGAGTTAAAAGAAGTGTGCAATACATGTGAAAGGAAACAACTACAACTATAGGATTTAAGATCTAAAATGTAGGGTTAAATTCCTCAAAAGAGCTTAGATTTCTAGGTTTCCATTACATTTTTCTATAAATTTTTGTCCTTTTTTAATGAAATTTAAAACAGCATTTTTAGTGTTCCTCCAACTCACTGCCAGTGGTGATTGTGATGAGAACAAAATAACTGAAAGCTTAATCTAGTACCATATAAAATTATAGTCTATTGATACTTTTGAATGTATATATATTGGTTTTTTCCACTTTTGAAAATGTGATTTATTATAATGTAACTACGGTCTAATAAAAACATAATTACACTAACATATAAGCAACCAAAAAGTTGGCTTTCTAAATCATTACCAAGGAAACTTGACTTCCACTGCCCACTCTAAGAAAACATTTTGGGTCCTTGAGAAATAAGGGAGGTATTCCTCTCAGGTGTCATCCTAATAAGGTCACCACTCCTTACTGCTCACTCTTTTTACTGTGTCCTTAAAGCCTTCCCATTTATAGAGGCTTTGCTTATCGCTCTCCTGTGGATGCCAATTTGGATCTTGAGCACCTGTATCATGGTGTGAGGTGAAATTATGCTCTTACTACCAAAGCTCTTAAAATAGATCAAATTATGAATTTCATGAGCATTGACACTGTTGGGTCCTAACTACAGTTTATTCTTCAGTAAAAGTTATTTGTACTTTTTTAGTGGGGTTATTATACCACAGTTGCCTCTCCCACACAACACAGGAAAAAATAAACCGAAAACCTAGGTGGCAACATCAACAGGTAGGAGGAATGCATGAGATTGTTATTATTTTCTTTTTACTTACCTAGTTTATTTCTCTATAAAGTCTTGCCCTGAAATATATGTTCTTTTTGTGAGGAAGAAAAATAGGTTGGGCTATTTGTTTTTAAACTTTTGATGAGTTGATATGATAGTATTACTTTTTAATCAGTATGTTACTTTTAGAGAATATATTTATTATTATGAACCTTTAGCTTAAAAAAGGCAAAATTGGTCAAATGTAAAAAATGATTTGCTTTGTGTATAAATAAAAAGGAGAAAATGTTGGAACCATACAGTTAAGTAGATCAATTGGGTCCCTGATTAAAAATGACCAGGTTGCCTGGCTAGCATGGCTCAGTGCTTGAGTATTGACCAATGAACTGGGAGGTCATGGTTTGGGTTGCAGTGTTGATCCCCAGTAGAGGGCACACAGGAGGCAGCCAACCAATGATTCTCTCTCATCGATGAGGTTTCTATCTCTCTCCCTTCTTCTCTGAAATCAAATAAAAATAAATTTTTACAAAAGACCAGGTAGTTAAAAATATTTTCATTTGCACTGTACTTAAGTATTAATGCTTTCTCTGTTTTTTTTCCATAAGACTGTGATTAAAATTATCTTTTAATTTTTAAAATTTGGTCCATCCAGTTTGCTGTTTACTTCTTGTTTGGTACTTTCAGGTGTCCAGAAATCATATGACTTTTCTTTACTATATCTACAGAAAACATTGTGGGCCAGAAACAAAAAAGAGCCCATAACTAGTCCTTACATTGTAATTTACAATGGGTACTTAAATTTCTTTCCAGTTTGTTTCATTTGAACAAAAGGCTTTAAACAACTTGGATTTTCCTATATTTCACATTTTAAATTAAATAATCCCAAGCATATAAGTAAATGTTTGTTAAAAGCTTTTCTTAAAACGTAGCTGACTTTATTAGTTCCTCCTTATGCTGCTTTTCTCTCTGGTCGGCAGTGGAAGCACTTAGTTTTCACATCCTTGGGGAGAGAGGGTTGCTTCCCACACCAAGTGATTAAAAGTCCTGAGCTTTTATCTGATTAGACACTCTTGACCAGATTACAGTAAGTAGTCAGGAATGGAATTACCCTAATTGGCTTGGTGCATGTAGGGCCTCAGCTCCCAGACCAGAGGCTACTGGTAACCTATCCTAAACACTGGCTAGTGGATACTGGGGGATGGGTGTTAGGAAGAGAGGTAATATCTGCTAGTAGTATAGATTCAGATGATGATGTAATTAAATAGAAATAAAGACTAGGAAGAGAAGGAAAGGGCTAGCTAGGAAGCATGAATTAAGTAAAATATGGATTTAGTAGTGAAACATTATGCTTTATGAAATCGACTTACTGATTTATGTCCTAGAAATGTATTATTAAAGATGCATAAAAATTTTGTAAATTTTATTTTTTTTTAAAAAAAAATTAACTATAATTCATTTAAAAGACCTATTATACCAAAAACCATTGCTCTCAGGCATTTTTATATTCTTGGAATGCTGGCTTTTTTATATAGTGAGACATGTTGAAACATGACCTCCTTGTAAATTCTAGTAGGTTAGCATAGACACAGATCATATTAGGAAGCCTTTTGGGACCCCAAATTATTCCTCTTAAGCTCTTTAAAAAAAAAAAAATTATTTATTGTTGTATTACATATGTCGCTTTTTCCTCCCATTGTCCTCTCCCGCCTCCCCCTACCCCACCGCCCAGGCCCTACTGTCTGTCCATTGGTTATGCTTATATGCATACAAGTTAAGTCTAGCTTAGGCAGTAGAAACCATACTGCACACAAAGTTTCATACAACATAAAATAATTTTCATTACACTTTCTTACTGTGATTGGTTCTAAGAAAAAGATGCTGCTTTTTCTGCTTTAGATTATATAGAGTGTCCAATTTTCATTACACTTTCTTACTGTGATTGGTTCTAAGAAAAAGATGCTGCTTTTTCTGCTTTAGATTATATAGAGTGTCCAAGAGAATAAGGGACAAGCACTTTAAATCTAGAGTAATATCTATATAGTGGTATATAAATCTAGAATAATATCTTTTTAATTGTGTTTCTGATTGGTCTTCGCCATTGTCAGATTTTACACTGTGTTCTGTAGAACAGAGTTTCTTATGTTTTAGTGTGCAAATGAATTCCCCAGGGAGCTTGTTACAATGCAGACTCTAATTCAGTAGCTCAGTGGGCGGCCCTGAGATTGCTACACCCTCCCAAGTGATGTTGCTGGTCTTCAGCTATACTCAGAACTAAGTCTTGTAGGATCTTCCAGTTACTTTAGGGTAGAATTATTCTCTACATATTATGTTTCTTGGGGAATATGACCTTATACCAAAAGTTTATTTAAAGCTTCATTTCCTGATGTGTGGTTTGTTAACTATGAGAAGTTATTTCTTTGTGGGTGGTTTACTGATATAATGAAGTAACTTTTTCAAGTGTGATTCTTAGGGAAGGTAGTATAGAAGGGAGATTGAATAGTAGGAAAATTAAGGTCTTTTAAAAATATATGTATAGAAAACACATGCTTCTTTTAAATATCAAAGCTTTAAGATGTCCAAATGACTATAACAGAGAAATTAAAACATTAGCTTTCCTAAAGATAACCTGGTACCAATACAGAACTGTTATCAAAGGAAGAAATAGAAAAGATAACATTGTCATTAGCTGGTTATTAATAATTAGAAAGGAGTCTAGCTGGTTTGGCTAAGTGGTTAAGAGTATTGGCCCGTGGACTGAAGGGTCCCAGGTTTGATTCTGGTCAAGGGTATGTATCTCAGTTGCAAGCTCTATCTGTGACTCTTGTTGGGGTGTGTGCGGGAAGCAACCAATTGATGTGTCTCTCTTAATTGATGTTTCTCTCTCTCTGTCTCTCCCTTCACTTAGTCTCTCTCTAAAAATCAATGGAAAAATATCCTTATTATAGGAAAGGAGCAAAAGGGAGGACAGACATCAATAAGCATGCCATCTGGGCAGCTTTACCATGAAGCTGCAACTTCATACTCCCCAGGGAACCACCAGCCCATTCCCTGCAAATCACTTGGGGAAGGGGTCAACAAAGGGGAGATGGATGCATGTAGTAGTCAGGATTATGTAGGGAAGGTGCCTGCCAGTTTAACCTGGAAACAAAGATAATTAGCTAGAGGGGGTGGGGCCACTGCAAGTACACAAAATATTAGAATTTTAAAATCCCCAGACAAAGGAATTCTTGCACTCTGATTCCTCCTTTGTTCCTCTGGCTTTGCTCCTGCTTCCTTGCATTTGCCTGTGTTCCTAGAAGCTGCACAGCCCATGGCCATGTGGACCCCACACTTAATGGACTGATGGACTGCAGCTAGGAACACAAGCTAAGCTAGCCTGATGCTGGAGTGGACTGTGCAAATATGAAACAGAAACTTTGGGCAGCAGCTTTAATCCTAGCTCTACTAAGGACACAGCTGGACTTCTTCCATGGTGGGACAGGGTGGAGTGGGAGGGAACCTTGGAAACTCAGGGATTTAATTTCACACAAATAAATGCCACTCATTCTCCCATACCAGTCTCGAAAATTCCTTTTCTTGTGACATCACAAGAAGCCCACTTCTACCAGCATCCAGTGCGGACATGGAGGGCTCCCCACCAAAAATAACAGTAGAGATAGCTTCCAGAAGGTTGCTGCTTATATTTAATTATATTTAATTATATTTAACTATAATGTGATAATTGATAGATAAAATATTGCCAATGGGTACAGTATGGGAATTATACAGTTAAACAGGGTAAAAAACTAAATTAAACCTTTTCCCTTTCTATTGTATATATTTTTTTCTTGACCTTGGTTTGTAAATGGTATTTGTTAGCATCATTGTTTTTCTGCTACTAACATGAGATAATAACAGATTTTTAGAAAAGTAAATAGAATTATGAGTCTTTTCATATAAATTTTTCTTAAATCTATGCTGAAAGAAATTAAGAAGCAAATGACAAGTATTAACAGGAAGAACTTGGCAACAGCCCATTATTCATGTTTAGTTTTAACATTCTCTCTAGCTCTTATAATGTAATTAAATATATTAATATTTCATGATGTTCCCCCCCCAAAAAAGTTTATAATTTTGAGGGAACTTTGACACTTGTACAAGTTTGAGAACCACTGTTCTTGGTAAAAAATGGTTCTTTGAATTAGAAAATAGAGTTTATATTTTAAAAAATAAGCAGAATGCTAAAAGATGAGTTTGCCAGTTATTTACATAAAAAAACCTGTTTTTAGGTAAAAGTTGCCCTCACTCTGCAACTCTGCACAGGATTGTTAAATTAATATAAATAACATGTTTATTTTGTGACCTTACAGGAGCCCAGGCTTGTGTGCTTGTATTTTCTACCACAGACAGGGAATCTTTTGAAGCAATTTCCAGTTGGAGAGAGAAAGTAGTAGCTGAAGTTGGAGATATACCAACTGTACTTGTACAAAACAAGATTGATCTCTTGGATGATTCTTGTATAAAGAAGTAAGATGGCTATTTTTGAAGGGGTGGTGATAATTCTATAAAGGAAACCTATTTTAACTTTTGCAGAGACTTACAAAATTTAAGGATGTTTATATAAAGAATGCCTTATATTTAAAATTTCTGTGAGCTGTTCTATGTGATTGGTTTGCTTTAAAAAAAAGAGATAATTGTTAAAGAAAACATTTAAAAACATTAAACATATGAAAGATGCTTTAATAAAGAGTGAGTAGATAGATAGCCTATGTTGAGTTTCATATTGTTTTGTATTTTCAAAACTATTATGCTCAAATTTGTGAATGGAGTTTAGCATCCAGCTAATTTTCTTCTATAAGTATTTGCTTACTGTATTATTAAAGTTTTGCTTATGTGTTCTTATTTAAGTTATCTGTTGCTATAAAACAGGTTAGTCTAACTTAGTGGCTACAGCAACTACCATTTATTATTTCAGTTTCTGTAGGTCAGGAATTTGGATAGTTTGAGGGCTGTTCTGGTTCAGAGTTTTCCATGAGGTTGAGGCAAGATATTGGTGAGGCCTATAGTCACACAAAGGCTTTGACGGGCTGGAGGGTCTGTTTCCAGGAAGGTTCACGCAGCTGGCCATTGGCAGGGGGCTTAGCTCCTTGCCATGTGGATCTCTCTCTCTAGGGCTGCTTGACAATAAAGCAGCTGGCTTCCTACAGCCGGCAAGCCACGAGAGAGGAAAGCAGAAGCCTCTTAAGACCTCACTTCAGAAGTCACATACTACACTTCTGTATGTTATTGATCCCATAGACCAGTGGTCGGCAAACTCATTAGTCAACAGAGCCAAATATCAACAGTACGATTGAAATTTCTTTTGAGAACCAAAAACCGGATTCTGCACACGGGCCGTGAAGTTTAATTCGCCCTGAACATGTGCACCTGCACATGGTATTTTGTGGAAGAGCCACACTCAAGGGACCAAAGAGCCGCATGTGGCTCGCAAGCCACAGTTTGCCGACCACTGTCATAGATGACAGTGTAGGAGGAGACTACACAAGGTTATGAAGACCAGGAGGATGGGGGGATGGGATGGAATCACTGGGAACCATTTTAGAGCTTAACTACTGTAGTCTTAATAAAACCAGGAGTCCACCATCAGGAGTCATAAGAAAACTAAAGTTAGGAGTCCACTCTTGTAGAGACAGCTTTACTCTACTGTTGACTTTGGCAGCAAAGTAATTTCATAGCCAGTCAGAGTAAAATAAATGTTGCACTGTGTGATTTTCAGAGTATAATTATATTCGAATGTTTTTAAAAACAGAAGAGAAAATTAAAGTATTATATAAAGAAAAGCGATATTTTGCTATTTTAAGGCCAGAGCTTAGTGACTTTATGGAAAAGTGTGTGTTTACAGTTACAGTATCATGGTTGGTGTTTATCCCCCAGGAGTAGTGAAAACATAAAACCCTGTTCAAGCTGAGAACACAGCTTTAACTGGTGTGGAACATCTGACAACGCCCCTCCCCCAAGCTTATCAATAAATGTAATAAAAGTGATTTTTTTTTTTAAACAAGCTCTCAGAAAGTATCTTTATAAGCACTTTCTCCCCTTTTGATATAGCGAGGAAGCTGAAGCACTGGCAAAAAAGCTAAAGCTAAGGTTCTACAGAACATCGGTGAAAGAAGACCTAAATGTGAATGAAGGTAAACTGCCGTTTTAAAAACTTAACAGGAAATCTGTTTTACTCTTCTTAGTTTTCTTTTGTGTTGTTTAGAAAACATTTATGATGAGAATAGAATTTTCTTGTCACCTATCATTAAGAAAAAAAATTAAAGCATGCTGCTGCTTTGAGTTAGTTTTTAATTATTCACTGATGTTTTGGAATACTTGGTACTCTACAACAAAACGCTGCTGGGTGTTTTGTTTTTTTATCTTAAAAAATATAACTGTATGTGTGAGTGTATATTCATGTATGCACACCTCTTAAAATTACTGAATTGTTTTAGAGCTCCACAATAGTGGCTATTCTATTAGGTAGTTACAATAGCCTTAATATTTCATAATTTAAGAAAGTAATATTAGAGAAAGAGGATTATTTTTCTCATTCCAGAATTGCTACTTACTGTATTAGACAGCAACTGGATTGTTGCGTAGGTGTCTTTCTGGGTAGTTATTTTTATCACCTAAAGAAATGAGACATTTTTTTAAGACTAAATCATTTAGTGTTGCTGAATATTAATCACTACTCTACAAGTACTGGAAACTAAAGAGCCAATGATTACAAATACTATTTTATTTCTTTACTAATAAAATGCCACTATCTGTTTATTAGTATTGTCATTCATTGTACATGGGTATTGCTGAAATAAATTTACAAGTTGAGTATATTTCTAATTTAATTTTAAATTGGTTTAGTACATGTAAATATTATAGTATAGTATGTACAAAAACATATTTTATCTGCGTAAGTTATACTATACTAACTTGGTAGGCTTTTTGTTCATTTTTATTCTAGTTTTTAAATATTTGGCTGAAAAGTATCTTCAAAAACTCAAACAACAAGTAGCTGAGGATCCAGAAGTAAGGCATTCAAGTAGTAACAAAATTGGTAAGTACTCGGACATTTTAGACTCATGTTTACCTGGTAAATTTATTTCCCATTAATTATTTTTATTTACTATTTTTTCATACAGTGTGCTCAGTTGTTTAAGAATGTAATTAAAATGTGCTAGATCAATGATTATTAAATTTAGTAGTATCAGGTCTCTTATTAAAGGTATATTGATTCGCATTATGTAACACATTAAATATAAGCTCGCTTCATCCAAATATTTAAAGACAGTTTTGTCCATCCTTCCTGTGAGACTTCATGCCCCACTTTTATGTATGTACCATGTACCCCTTTTACCAGTTCCACCAGAAGTCTTGCTCTTTCTTGAACATGCCCAGGGCTGTCTTTTCACTTTTGCTTGTTTTGATTCTTCTATCAAAAATAACCTCCCTTTCCTGTCTGTCAAAGAACTGTTTGTTTTTTTAATCCTCACCTGAAGATATTTTATCCATTGACTTTTAGAGTGGAAGGGAAGGGAGAGACAGAAACACCAGTGTGAGAGAGACACATCAATTGGTTGCCTCCAACATGCCCCCAGACAGAGCCAGGAGCCTACAACCAAGGTACGTGTTCATGACCGGAATCAAACCCAGGACCCTTCAGTCTGCAGGCCGACGCTCTATCCACTGAGCCAAACCAGCTACGGCTGTTAAAGAACTACTTATTCTTTATAGACTATCTAGAAACCTCAATCAGCTATGTAGTTAGCTTCATGCTTTTCCTTGAAGTGAACAGAGATCTAAGTCCAGAACATTGCCAGGTGTCCAGTTCCACCTGCTTCCTATAATTTCTCCTTCCTAATAAATTAGATGTCACTTGTCCTGCCTTTGAACCATTTATGGGATCTTGTGTCTCTTTTATGGCTCTTAACATATAATGTCTTATACATAGCACTGTTCTGTGGATACTAACTCACCTATTAGATTGTAAACTTCTTTTTTAAAGATTGTAAACGTCTTGTGGGCAGGAATTGTTGCAGTCACCTTTGTGTTGTTGATAGTGTCTCTGGCCAGTAGTTCTGTGTTTCAAGGATGATAAATAGTTCAGAAAGACCAGCCCAGTTCAAAACAGAAACTATAATAAACTTTAAAAAAAAAATTATCTTTTTTTTATCAACTCATGACTTTAATTATCTGTAGACCACTTTGTTAGTTTAGCCTCGATAGGAAAATCTTATATTACTACCAGCTTTTACATATGTAATGTTTTGATCAACATAAAATATCACAAATACTGTTAACTATAAATCAGGTATTAAAGAAGTTATCTAATATAACGTTAGTAAGTGAAATTATTGTAATTATTCTCTGATTCCATATTTCAAAAATAGTGAAAAGGTGCAGAATAATGTGTAGAATATGTCACCATTTGAGTAACATTGGGAGGAAAAAAGAATATATATGTGTATTTTTGCCTGCATATGCATAAAATATCTTTGGAAGGATACATAGGAAAATTGATAAAACATGCTTGCCTTAAGGAGAATAAAACTGGGGTGGTGGGAGGGAGCCTTCATTGTGAACCCTTTTGTACCCTTTGAAATTTGAACCATATGTATTTCTATAAAAATAAATAAAATGAAAAGGCTTAACGTTGAAAATATTACTGATTCACTAAGAAGCTGGCTGCAGTGAGACATGTCAGTGTCAACCTCTGTGTCCTCCTTCAATTTAATACAGGTGTCTTCAACACATCTGGTGGAAGTCACTCGGGTCAGAGTTCAAGTACCCTTAATGGTGGAGATGTCATCAATCTTAGACCCAACAAACAGAGGACCAAGAAGAGCAGAAATCCTTTTAGCAGCTGTAGCATACCCTAAAATGTAGGCAGGAAAAAAAATTGTGCAATTCAGTGAGAACTACATCCAGCTCACATGGTATGTTACAAGGTTTTAGCAGATTTTGCACCTAATGGTTCTGAAAGTTGACAGACTTAAATGTTGATCTTCAGTGCTTTTCAGAATGGAGTGAAATCTTTGGAGGAAAAATTACTGCCCTGTGGACTCATTTTAATTTCTTTTACATTAGACGAAGCTTCTCCTGTTTTGGAAAGAATGGTATAAGAAATGTCAAAAACAGGTTTTGCTGAATTTTAAATGCTGGAAAATATAAATGAAATGCCTAAATATATGGTACGGATTGTAATGTTATGGGTTAAGAAAAGATAGCATTCTTTTTCTGAAATTAGTCATCAACCTTTTCTGAGAAATAGTATTGAACCCAAGTACTTAAAAAAATAATAACGAAAGATAAACCCTAAATTTGGTGAGACTGCATTAGTGTGTACTTGGGCAATGTTACTATGCAATATCTGTACCATTTCGGGTATGGAGGTATGCATGCAGGTACTTGGTATTGAAGTAAATTGAAGGTATGTGCACTGTTTAATGAAACAGAATCTAACTCATTCATTCATAGAATCATTTACACCTTGTGTATATGTTAAAAGTTTTTATTTTCAAGTAAGAAATTTCAGACATATATTTTGCAAAAGAGCTGAGATTTAAAAAGTGTTTTGTGCCAAAAAATATCATCTCTAATTTTTACAATGCTTTACTATCAGAATTTATATTGTTTATAATATCTTTTAAAAGCAGTTTTCCTCTCTGACGGGGTAGATAAAAGAGTTTAAATGTTTTAGTGCTAGGTCATCTCTCAGGTGAGACTTGTTGCAAAACTTTTTCACGTGTCCCTCTTAGTGTGGCGAGCTTGTGCTGGCCAAGTCCTGGAGCAGACACAGCACGTCTGCGGCTACTCCTTAGGCCGGAAGCACACTGGTGCTTCCAAGCGCCTTTGCTGCTGACTAAAAACGCAATCTTGAACTTTTAGGATTATGCTAACAGTTTTTAAAAATGCACAAGAAGTGATCTTTTGTCGTAATCCACACTATGGATTTTATAATGCCTTGCAACTGTAAAGCATCTTTTTGTTTACACCTTTTTGTATGGTATTTTAAGATTATCGCTTAAAAATTTCTATAACCTTTGATTTGTACAGCACTTTCTCAAGACCTCTTTCAGGAACAAATATAATTTCTTTTAAGAAAGGATTTCAATATGTAGTCATGTGGCAGAACATAAACTTGTGACTTGGGACAGTAGTTTTCCAGCTAAGATAATTGCATGAACTCTGTTAAAACTAATTATCAATGGTTTTGTTTTTTAACCGTTTGCAATATACCTTGTTTTTATAGGATTTCAAAATGTGTACAAATAACTTCTTGAAAAATGTGCGATCAAGTTCTTTTTCATTATTTGTAAATGCATAATGTTTCTATATATTTCTCGTTTCCTTTTTTTTCCCCTTAAGTCTTCCATCTTTGCCACCCTCATCCTCCATGTAGATTAATGTTGAGAACCTAATAGAATTTTCTGAGGCATGTCATTAAGTGGTCAAGTGTGGATGTTCGCTTTTCGGAATACTGAAATAATCTGACATTACGTATTTCAAAGTAATATGTTTATTTTTATGTCACCAGTTGTCATCACTCCCCTTGCTGGCAGTGGGATAGGTGTTGGGAAAAAATCAGCTCCTATCAATGGATACCTGCTAGTGATTCACCTTTTCTTTTCTGCTCTCTTGAAATATAGTCTCTAATTTTTGCACAAAATATATTTTGCATCAAATAGTCTTACGGTTTTTAGTACAGAAAAATCACATTATGTAATATGTTGTAGTTGTATTTCATGTTAATTAAATGTGTTGTTACTGTTCCATATAAAAAAGTGTAATCTCTGATGGTTGCAGTTCCCCTGATATTTGTAATATAATTTTATGTACTTAGTTTTGTCTTTCTTTTTTTCAAGAACCGAAGAGAAATCTTTGTTGCACATTTGAGTTTTTAATTTGCACTTCTGTATTCTAAATTTAACCATAATCATTATAAGTTCTCAATTTAATTAATTCTAAAACTTAAATTAACATTAATCCCCCCCCCCCCCCCCGAAGACCTTTAATTCTTTTAAATAACTTTACTCTTAGTTTCTAACGAACCATGGTTGCTAAAGAAAACTTGTGTAAGCCTCTAGGAGGTTGTACATTTGTGCTCTAATGTAATTTTTACATAATGGCTAATTTTTAGCATTCAGACATATAGCTCTGTAGCAACTGCCACATTTTAAAGTTCCTGAGGTTTCCTTTCCCTCCTTCAGTTGCCTATTGAATTAAGTAGCACACAGAATAGCACAGATAAGGCAATATAGTTAAATAAAACCAGGCTAAAGGTTTTCTTTTCACCTGCCCAAAGTTGATAACCCACATATACTTTTTAAAAATAAAGTACAAGTGACACTGCAAAAAGAGAGTGAACACCTTTTCTCCCTGTGGAGTTAGATGCTTGTTTCAGAAGTTGGCAACTCAGTGCAGAAAAAACGCTCATCATTGCACCCACTGAGCCTGTGACTCAGGGATTGGAGTCCATTCTGAAGATCTCAGAAGGAGTAGTTGGCTTCAGGACCTAATGTCCCAACTTATAGTGAACTATTTTAATGTAAAATATTGAGAGCATCCTTTCAAAACCTCTGAAATAGTTAACTGGTAATTTGCTGAAGTGCTCCCATTACTAAATAATCTGTTTCTCTGAAGACAAAGTGAACTATAAAAAGTTCCCACACTGCACAATCTAATGAACAGGTAGATTTATTCAGTTTTTTTATTTATTTATTCAGTTTTAACTATTAGTTACGATCACCAATATCATGTGTACTGTTCTCATGCTTTAAGTTTTCAACCTAAAACATGTAAGCTTATCTTACTAGTGAATTTGTTTGCTAACAGAAACCATTTAAAACCACGGTGGACTCTAAAATACCCAGTTACCTAATTCCCAGGTAACTGGATGGATTTGCTATAATAACTTTTATTCGTATACCTTTTCTTCTCCTAAATATCTATAGTTAGATGCTCGTAGATGGTCTTAAAAATAAAAACTTTGGATTAAAAGGAAATCTCAACCCCTTCTATATTTTGTTACTACTAAATTTGTAAATCTGAATGAAAAATCACTTGTTTGTATTGCTATTGGGTTGCAATTATGCGTATGAGCTTAATTTAAAATATACTACTTAATAAAAATTTCATGAAAGATTAATTCCAATAATTAAAGAAATAAATGCATTTCAACGCTTGAATTTTGTGTGATATGTATCACCAGTGTGGAACCAAATATAAAAGGTATGACTTCTTTAAAAAGCAAAACAACTTAAGAATATTTCATATTTCAAATACTCTGCCAATATTTAGCATACTCATTTTATTGATAGTAGATATTTAATGCAATTGAGTAGCACTGTGGTTTTTTGAAACTTAGTTTCAAAGCAATTTTTCCTTTGAAACTTAAGTTTTTTTTTCTATTTCTATTAGTATCAGTCTGTTTAAAGTTATTTTCCTGTGCTTTGAGCATCTCTCACCAGCCCCTCCCCCAAGCCAAAAAATATATTTACTTTGTTCTGTGGTACAAAATATAGTTCTAATTTATATAACAAGTGCTTTCTGTTAGCTACTATGCTAGGTACCTTGCATGCTGTATCTCCTGAAGTTCCTAACAGGCGCATTCTCACCCCACTTTACAGCTGGGGAGGACAGGGATGTGCCTGGGGCCCTCTGCAGTAAGAGAGGGTGGGAGGCCTGTGCCAGGTCTCCCAGCAGCAAAGCTTATGGCCTCTGCGTTGTCGTCTCAGGTCTAGTATTGTCTTCAGACCTAAGATCTGACGGTTACATTTGGGACATAATATTCCCTGGATCCGAATCCTAAGTCCAAGCCCAGGTTTTTCAGGCTTTTCTGATTCCTTTGTCAAATTTCCTGCAGAATCTGTGCCTAATTTAACCTGTTCTGGTCACCCTGGAATATGGCATATTAACGTTGGACTAGATACTGAAATTGGCTTCTCACCAAACATGTGACTGCCAAAGTGATCTGAATGCCCACTACATGCAAAAGAGGCATATTTGCTACACTATTTAGTGGTTTGAGGTGGGTAATTGAAAGATGTGTGTGGTCCAATTCAAGCTGTCTACCCTTAGTTTCATGTTGAAAACTTAAGAATGTGGTTGTGTCCCTAAGAGGAAGGTGCATTTCATTTGGCTTGCTTGTTGTATGAGTTAGACAGGCAAAAAGTTCAAGCTCACTGCTGTCCTTGTCTTGCCTATTCAGCTCTGACTTTCCATTATTGTTTTTGAATAATTGTAAAATCCATCTTTCAAAAATACCATTATCATGTGGATGCACTCCAAAAATATGAGTGTTTATCACAGCCATGTGAAAGGGACAGATGCACGGATATTTCCTAGTTAAAAATTATTGCATATAATTTGGTGAGCCAGATCTTTACTCTGCTTCTTTCAATGGTTGCTAAATTCTTTCATGCTTTCCAGTTTTAAAATATCAAACAGGGTTGATCCCTTGGTTAGGGTGAGTTCTGAGTCAGGGTACTAGACTAAAGGCCCTGCCTGCCTGCACTCTGTCCCTCTGCAGAAAGTCTCATTGGCTAATGTTTCATTAAATTAAAAGGAGGACCCACCATACAGAATACAGGTACCTAGAGCAGCGGTCGCCAACCTTATGGACCGCCAGTGGTCTGCGGACCACCAGTTGACGACCGCTGGCCTAGAGCATGGTCGGCAAACTCATTAGTCAACAGCAGCAAACCATGGGGGATGCAATACTGGTTCTGGGAGGGGAACAGAGCTGGAGGCCAACAGTTCACATCCAGGGATTTTTGTCAATGTCAGGGATCCCTACATTAAAATATCAGGAGGGTCAATTCTCTACCTGCCAGATTTCTACCTGGGCAGCACTGACAGCCCTTGTCAGCTCCTCTGCAGGTCCTGCGGGCTCACACCTAGGAGCTAGGGTGGGCTTGGGAACACCACTGGGAAGCAGTGCTCATGAGGGATAGCAAAGGGCTGCCCTGAAATTGTACATTACATTCTAGAAATTACAGCCGATCCCAATTACAGCCGTTAGGGAATATATCGACATAGACAAAACATAGTAGGAATTCCCTTACAGTCCAAATCTACTACCTACATAAAAGAAGACAGTTTAAATAAAGGTAGAGTTGTGACACTTCGGAGTTTCATCATTTGAAAATAAGTCACACTTCCATTCTTAAAAATAAATAAGAATCCACTGAGGTCATTGCCCTTTGAACATGGCTCAGGCTGGAGGCCAGCGGACCAGGGACGGACACAGCTTGGAGACAGCAGATCACAGCTCTGAGTCTGTGACAAGGAATACCCTCCAATAAACTTCATTGTAAAGAATGAGATAGAAACTGCGCTGGCAGTTTGTGGTCCAGTCCCGGGTTGACGAGGAGTCAGTGGAAAGGGGGAGTACTTATTTCCCCAAATAGATGGGATGTACAGATGCTGACAGTCCTTGAGAACTTGAGGAAAACTTGATCGTCTGTTTCTTAATTTTCAAAAAGCTGATAAACAGATGGCACAAAAAGAAAATCTTTATCTGACAGTGAACCTATAACAGCAAATTAGAATCTGCTAGCAAATCAAGAGTCTGCCACCATTATCAGTGAGAATGAATGTTCCCCATGAAATGGAAAGATTTAAATGAGGACTTGGGGCTGGCAATCAACACAGCCATGAATATCCTTAAATTGTAATTGCTTTTTATGGAGAGACTAATTGGGCATTTTTGTCCAGAAAACAAAGCTCAGAATTGTTTTAATTGATATATATATATATATATATATATACACATATACACACACACACACATACACTGACATAAATATCTGGATCTTAACTTTTTTCCCAGTGTGAAAGAATACTTATGCTCCAATAAAAATCGAGTTTGAAATATATGTTTTGCATTAGCATTTGGGAAAGTTGAGGGCTTTGTATGTCAATAACACTAGTAATAAATAAAAGTTTTCTATAGTTGCTTCATTTGTTACAGATAAAAATAATATACTAGTCAACTTTGTTAGTAAAAAAAATGCAAACTAAAGATGTTTCATATCTAATGTTAGAAAAATGCTTAATGCTGGAAAGCTCAGTGAAATAGCTACATTTTAATTATTGAAGACAGTATAAATTGATAACTCTTAGACAAAGAAAAACAACTGGAATTATGTCAGGCCATGAATTGTATATAACCTTTCACTCACTGCTAAAAATTGATAAAAACAAAAGAAAAAACAAGAAGAATGGAAAAGCTCTATGTAGTAATGGCAACAAACTGTAAACAAGTGTCTAGTAAGGGGACTGGGTAAGTCGGTTTTTAAGCTGACAATTTAAGTGGACTTTATAGCAGCATTTAATTATTTTTAAAAGCAAGTTACAACATTGTATTTACATAGTAATTAACATTTTAGAGAAATGATCCATGTGGAAAAGATGAAGTAAATATATAATTGTTCACAGTGGTAAAATCAGATGTGAATTTTCTCATTTGCCATATTTTCATGAATATCAAGAAATGTATTCCTATTATGAGATGTGTAAATCTTTAAGTTCAAAATAATTTGACATGCATATCTAAAAACACTACTGAATGAGAGAATGCAGGGAAAGGTTCTTACTGTGTGATTCCTTTTATCCCTGTAATCACACTGCATGGCTAACAGGAAATGTGCATGTGCTGTTGATAAAGCTTTCTAGTCAACCAAATGCCACACATGCCCCTGTGTCTCCACACCAGACAAAGCCACTGTAAGAACAGTGATTTTTACCCATAGCTGAGCACGTACTTCCCCCACATACGAAGCATTGATCCGCAGAACAGTAAAAAATACATATATATTTATGTTGGGTGCTAGTTCCTAGAAGACAATTCAATCTAAAAACTTACAGGAAGATAATTAAAATATTTCTACTTTTAATTGTTATTCATAAAACTGATTGACACCGGAATATTTTCATCTTTATCAAATGAGTGGTTATGCCTAACAAAGAAGTAGTTATCACTTAAGATAGCATGTCATCCTTTGCACAGCGTTGCTCTCCGGTTTGGAAACTAATTGAATCTGCTGTCGGCATTCTGCTGCAGAGCTACGGAGCCCGGTCCTTTAGAATGCTCTAGCAGCTTGATGGCCTTGTCGGAGCTTTCAATATTTCTAAGCAGAGTCTCCAAGCGTCTCTTAATTTTCTTCTGATCCTCAAGGGCACAGCCAATGACTATGGATTGAAACTTCTGATCAATTGGCCCAGGCGGCACCTCAGACGAACACGCACCGTACAGCGACATCAAGTGACTCTTGGCATTTCCCAAATCATTCAGAAACTTACTGACCACTTCATCGATAATCCTGGTGGCGTGCTTCAGGGATTCCTGCTGCTGGGGGTTTCTAATGGTTTCCACGGAAACTTCCACAGTGAGGGTTCGTCCCATCAGACGGTTTGCGGTCAGATTTAATTCTTCTCTTTCTCCTAAACAGAAAAAGTTTGAAATACCAATCGCTGTGAGTCATAAACTCATCTCAGTTGAAGGGGTTCAGAACAGGCTTCTCCGCGATGGGCTACATTGGCATATGGATTATTTTGAGCTGAAGGCGATTGAGACGCTGAGGGTTCATGAGAAACTCTTACCTCTCCCTTAAAGAATTTAAATTAGGGGGTTTGCTCACAGTAAGAATTCTTGCTGGAGATAATTTTTATGACCTATCCATATGGCAGGGCAAACTTCTCTTAAATGAACATCTCTTTTGTTGTCCTGCAAATCTCCCTCTCCCCTCTGCAGCCCCAGACGCCCTGTCTCTTACCTTAGCTCAGTGTCGAGTATACCTCACTTTACCTTTCTATCTCTGCACCTCTCATGTATGGGGGGTGTCTCTGACTCTCATGTATGTGAGGTTCCCATATGAACGAATGTAATGAAGTTACTTTTCCATTGTCAATCTGTCTCATGTTGATTTAATTATTATACCAGCCGAAAGGATCTAAAAAGCTAAAGAAAATTTTCTTCCTACCCTAACAATGACAAGAACACTAACACATTTATTTGTGGCTAAATCTATTTTCTGTGATCACCTCTGCTATGAATTTCCTGAGGGTTAATCTTAAAACTATAGCATATAAGATTAACTGATGATGAAGTACATTGGTTTAGAGAGAGAGGTTGAAGAATACCTTTCCCTGGTACAGCCAGCGATGCTCAGTGGTTAGCATCGATCTATGAATCTGCAGGTCACAGTTTTGATTCCCGGTCAGGATATATGCCTAGGTTGTACTTTGATCCCCAGGGTGGGGCATGCAGGAGGCAAACGATCGGTGATTCTCCCTCATTAATGTTTCTTCTCTTTCTCTCCCTCTCTCCTCTTCTGAAATCACTTAAAAAAAAAAAATACTTTTCCCTGAAATAACTTTCCTGTATACATGGAATACCAGATGACTTCTAAAGCGGTCATGTTTGCCAAGTCTGAGCAGGTATGCATTTGTAGCTGGGATGGAGATCAGGTCTTAGCACAGCGTGAACAGTGAGCATAACCAGGTTTTGTGCTGGTTAAGGCTGCAGAGAGCAGACGTCCTGTATCTCGCCAAAGGATGTGCATGTAGGGTTGGAAAAATAATTTGTCTCTCTATCTGAGTTCTTGCCTGAGAATAAAAGAAAGATTAACAAGGACAAAAACACAAATGTTTATTAACATGTATAAGTCACATATAGTACATGAAAACTGAATAACTCCGAGATGACTAAGCCTCCACCTTAAACACCACCTTCAGCTGAAGACAAAGGTGTTGGCGAGGGAAGGAAGCCAGTTATGGGAAGTGGCCAGGAAAAGCACTGGAAGAGTAAGATTTAATTACAGTGGGCACCTTCTCCATTGATAAAAGTCTTTGTGATTCACAGTCCCCGCCCTGACACAGAGAGGGAGACACCTTTACATGTGGAAAGTTGCTTTAAAAATGTAAACTTCGCCGAAACCGGTTTGGCTCAGTGGATAGAGCGTCGGCTTGGGGACTGAAGGGTCCTGGGTTCGATTCCGGTCGGGGGCATGTACCTTGGTTGCGGGCACATCCCCAGTAGGGGGTGTGCAAGAGGCAGCTGATCGATGATTCTCTCTCATCGATGTTTCTAATTCTCTATCTCTCTCTCTTCCTCTCTGTACAAAATCAATAAAATATATTTAAAAAAAAATGTAAACTTCTCCTACAAAAGGGTAACTTCTCTGTATCCAGAGCTTCTCCTGTGTCTGCAGTTTCTCAAAAATAATCAGCTCAAAATATCCTTGTGCCAAAGCGGCATATTTTGCGATGGCATATTCTGCACGTTTATCAGAATATAATGCCCCAATTTGGGCTGAGAAAAAAGCCATGAAAGTGGAGAAAAACTGGCTGAAAATTAGGCCTCAACTTCACCCCCTCAAGACAAATGTAAGATGGCCACTGGTCTATGTCTTGGCCAGCACCCACAGGCAATGATGGGGAAAGGGACTCTGTCAACAGTCAGCAATCCCCTAATTAATTGATCTTTGGAGGGAAGTTCTGTAATTCCTAACTCATTGATCTTTGGCCAGGATGGTGAAGAGACAAACTAGATCTGACCCCACTGTGGACTCTGGAGGTAGACTGCTCACTCACGAACTGCACCAGCTGCCTGGCCCACTGGCTTGTTCTGTGAAGAAGCGCCACATTCGGAAGGCCATCACCAGTGAACACCAATCACAGCTGACCTGTTCCTCCAGGGGCAGTCATGCTTTTCATATGATGGCACATTTTTACATTAATAGGGTTTTATTTGGCTTGTAATTTATTTTCTTGCATTTTCTTCCTTTCCCCTATGCTTTTAAAAATATGTTTTTATTGAAATCAATAAAAAGGAAGGAGAGAGAGAAACATCAATGATGAGAGAGAATCATTGATTAGCTGCCTCCTAGCAAGCCCCATACTGAGGAGCAAGCCCGAAACCCTATGCCCTGATCAGGAATCGAACTGTGACCTCCTGGTTCATAAGTCAACATTAAAATCACTGAGCCACCCCGGCCAGGCTCTCTCAGACTTTAAATCTACATTTCAGTGACTTCAATAGAACTGAAGTTCTATACTTGGCCTTCTTGCTTGGAGCCAGCTTTTCTGCCAAAGGAGCTGGAGGCCTTTTTCCATTACTTCCAGTCTTGGCCTGGGCTGGAGAGTACAGTGGGAGAATGATCTCTTGTAATAAACCGACAGCTGCAGCTGCTGCCTGCTGCTCACATGAAATGCTGAAATCGGGTGTGCTCAAGTCAACCAAAAACTGACCCATGCCTTTCACAGCCCCAGTGGAGGGCTGTAAAAGACGAGCCCCGCCTATGGAATCCGCTCTCACCATCGCTGATCTGCCTCATGTCCTGGCTGTTCTGGATACTGTGGATCATTTCCAGGAGGATTTCTCTCTCTTGCTCAATGGCAGTTGCAGCTTCTCTTAAAGCTTCCACCCTATAAACAGGGAAACAGAGCAGTTACTACACAGACGATCAGTGGTCCTCACCCTTCTGTCATTCAATTCAAGTTAAAAGATCATTAGGAACACTTTTCAAGAAGTCTTTATTCCTTTTTATTTTTTAATCTTTTCATTTTTATATTCTTTTTAAACCCACTTACCCCACTCCCATTTTCCTCCCTGTTCTATTTAGTGGTTATCTGTTTGTTCTTGCAAAAATATGTATTTGTGTATTCATGTTTTCAATTGATATCTCACTCTCAGCATTATTTTATTAAGAACCATCTAATCAGTAGCTTCTCATTGTTGCCCAATTCTCCACATGTATATCCACCTGGCTTTACCTCTCCCAGTGGAGACCCTCTCCTTGTTCCTCAGCTATTCATCAGCACAAGTAACACTTCAATGAATGCATGCCCCTTCAGGACCTGGGTGAGGGCAGAACTGCTGAGACACATGGTGTGTGCGCCTTCATTTGATGCAGTATGAGGACTGCTCAGCAAAGCACAGGTGTCCCTATATCCCCACAACCCTATCAGTACTCAGCATTTTCCAATTTTCTAACTATTTATTGACAGTAAGTATAGTGATATCTCAATTTTTAATTTGCATTTATTTCATTAATAATTTTAGACATCTCTTTGTATCCGTGTTAGCTTACTCATAGCCTTCTGTTTTCTTCTTTAAACAGGGATTGTTGTCCTCTTGTTGGTTTGCATACTCAGGATATGAATCCCTTGTTGGTTACAGACAATGCAACCATCTTCTCCCATCCTATCATATATGAACGCTGGGATACCCTTCACTGAACAGAGATCCTTATTTTGAAATGATCAAGTTCATCTTTTTCTGGCTTTGTTTTGCCTTATTATTTATGCTTTTGAAATTTTATTTCAGGGTCTTCCCCATCCCTAGGTCATATGATGTTGGCCTACATTTCCTTCTATTAACTTTATCATTTTATTTTTTTCCTATTTATAATATATCTTTTATTTTAAAATCCTCACTTGAGAAGTTTATTGATTTTTAGAGATGGAAGAAAAGAGGAGAGAGGAAGAGAAGGAAGGAGGAGGGACAGAGAGGGAAAGAGAAAGAGGAGAGAGGGAGGGAAAGAGCTACGGAAGGAAGGAGCGAAGGAGGGGAGAAGAAAAAGGCGAGGGAGAGACAGACATTGAGCAGCTGCCTTCCATATGCGCCCCAACCGGGAATGGAGCCCACACCTTCTTTTGGTGAATCAGATGATGCTCCAACCGAGCCACTGGCCGGGGCTCCTATTTACATATTAACCCATGTAAAACCCATCTTTGTATGTAGTTAGGTAAGGATATTGTTTTATTTTTCTCCCATTAGTGGAACATTTTCTCCAACATGATCCACCAAAAATCTATCTTTCCCCTAGTGACTTGTAGATGATCTACATCTGAAATCTCTATCCCATTTGGCTGTTTTTACACAAATACCCACTTTAAAAAACAGCACCTGCCCTGGCCAGTGTGGCTCAATTGGTTCTTGGTCAGGGAACATGCCTGTGCTGCAGCTCAATCCCCAGTAGGGGGCGTGCAGGAGGAGACAGCCAATGGATGTTTTGCTCTCATCTCATCTTTCTCTTTCCTCCCTCTCTGTTTAAAAATCCATTAAAAATTTTAAAAAATAGCACCAGTTTTATAATATGCCTTAATATTTGCAAAGAAAACTTATCTACTTAGACTTTTATTCCTCCATGTAAATTCCAGAGTAAGTGGATTGGGTTTTTAAAACAACTGGAGTAAATTTGACATCTAATACTATGTTGTCATTCCATGCTAAAACATGATACATCTCTATTCAGATCCTCTTCTAATGCTTTATTAGAATTTTGAAGTATTCTTTATTATTCTTTTCTTTTCTTTTTTATGTCAGGAACCACTACCCAGAACTGCACACTGTAGGTGGTGATTTCGTCTTGTAATGAAGTATTCTTAATGGTAGTCTTGTGGACTCTTCAGTGTTCTAGATAGTCTGTGGATATTGTTGCTACTGTGAATAACATATTTTTGATGATATCTTCTAGCTGGCTATTTCTGGTTAGAGAAATGCTGTTTTTCTAGTTTCATCTTTTAATTGGCAATCATGACTTATACTTAATTTTAATGGTTTATCTTTTGATTTTGTTGGTTCTTCTAGATCTAGATCAAGCATGTCAAACTTGTGGCTGGTGGGCTGCAAGTTTGGCATGCTTGTTCTAGATTGATGATCAAAAGAAATGATAGTTTTTATCTCTTCCTTTTCTTTTTAAAAAAATATATTTTATTGATTTTTTTTTTACAAAAAGAAAGGGAGAGGGACAGAGAGCTAGAAACATCGATGAGAGAGAAACATCGACCAGCTGCCTCCTGCACACCCCCTACTGGGGATGTGCCCACAACCCCTACTGGGGATGTGCCCACAACCCAGGTACATGCCCTTGACCGAAATCGAACCTGGGACCTTTCAGTCCGCAGGCCGACACTCTATCCACTGAGCCAAACTGGTTTCGGCTATCTCTTCCTTTTCAATGCTATTAGCTATTTTTCTTTTTCTTTTTTATTTTAGAGAGGGAGAGAGAAACACTGATCTGATGTTCCACCTATCCATGAACTCACACACTCACTGGCTGAGAATGGAACCCACAACCTCGGCATATCAGGATGGTAATCTAACCAACTGAGCTACTCCGCCAGAGCTATTAGCTCCTATTTTTCTTTATATAATACTGACTACAGTCCTCTGGTACTGTAAGCAGTCGTAAGAGAGAGCATCTTTGCCTTTTCCCAAATTTAAAGGGAATGCCTCTGCAGGCTTTTGGCACAGAGCCATGAGCAGACTACAGAAGTACTACTTTCCCCAAGAATACACACCCGCATACTTATCACTACACATACACATGAACACACCCAGTCATGTGGAATCATGAGAGCAAGAAAAAGGAATCCTGTATATTTAGAGTGCATTGTTTCCAGGGCACTTTCTTGCTATATATTACCCTGCAATTACATAATTTGCCAACTTTTCCAAAATAAACAGTGACGGATCTATCCCCAGTATCCAGATGGTCTCAGAAACCCAAGATTACTACATATCTAATCCTGACTGCTGTTTTAAGTGGGTCCAGAAGGAACAACCTCACCAATGTTTTAGCTCGTGTACATTCCATATAAGGATTCCCCCCTCCTCACCCCCACCACACATATGCCTTTTCCCCACAGTCACCCACCTGTTACACCCCAAAATAGCACTCACAAGCAGAAAAGTGTCACCGGGTCCCTTTACTCATCAAGATACTAAATATATGTTGGACTTTGCATTTATAAAAACCAGTAAAAGCAAAGAGCTGGTAAGAATCTTACTACCTGATATGGCCTGGGAAACAATGAAATTTAATAATCTAAGAAATAGGAATAATGCAGTACCAGGCCTTCTAGCACCATTCAGGATGTACTTACACATTTTACATTTGCAAACTCTCAGGTAGCCTAGGGCCCAGTACATCTGAAAGAGCTTGAGTTGGCACTGATAGGAAATATTTGTGCTAAAAACACAAACCACGACTCCAGTATTTAAATGAACCATGTGACTGGTAAATGTGAAGATGCTAAAGAAGAGATTAAATTTTTAACACTCGTGTTTGCACTCAAATGGGAGATGATAAAGAATTGAAAGTTTTCCTAAAAAAGGACATTTCATTTACAACAGCAAGTTACAACAGTAAGTTCACGGTATTATTAACAAGAAATGGTTTAAAAGGAGACACTCTAGAAAAACATAACCTGTCATATGAAGAAGTATTTTGTCATTAAAGGAAATTAGATGCAACTTTCATGGGGTTTTCCCCCCCCCCCCCCCCCACACACACACACAAGACTAGAAATGACCAGGGCATTTTTCCTGTGAAAAACAGATTTCACCTTTTACAGAACTTCTTACATATATTTTCACATTTGCTTTTTCATATCATAGCAAAGGTAAAATGTCACTCTTCAGAACCAAAGTTTTGTTTGTTTTTGGCACCCTTGACCTTTCATTTGCTATTCCCTCTTCTGCAACATTCTTTATCCTTGACCCTTGTCCATTGGTGACATTTTTTCAAAACCCAATCCTTTGCACAGGAACTGTTTCCTTAACTTCCCCCCATTCCCCCCAGCCCCCATTGAGGAGGTGTTGGTCAGTGCCTCCCTATGCACTACTGCACATCTTTCTAATGTATGGACTTCGTTGGATTTTTAATTTTTTCTTTTAAAAAGCTTTACCCAGATCTCCACTTAGCTTGTTTAAGTAATATTTGTACTGTTTATCAGCTACTGGTACCTTAAATACAACTCTTATAATCTACCTTTCCATTAGAGTTCTAGAAAATTGTAAGCCATTGTATCTTTGAATACTCCCTGTCCTCCATTCCACTATTTTCTTCTGGAACTCTGGGTAGACAACTGTTGGACTATCTCACATTATCCTTCACGGCTGTTTTTTTTAACACATCATTTGACAGCACTCTTCTTGGCAGAGAGGGCAGTTCTGTTTTTATTAACAGATCGTGGAAGCAGCTACAAGTCCAAATTGGGAAAGAACCCATCCTCACACCAAGGCCGGCCTGGGCTGTGCTTCTGGAAAACTCTCTGCATGAGATCACAACTAAGCAGGCTTTTACCAAAATAAATTGCGGTCAGCATATTCACCCAAGGACAGAACTGAAGGGCACTCCTCCTCAGTTAGTCCTCTTGTCTCTGACACCCCACAGGTCTCTGCAGCCTGGTATCACACACAAAGCTGGGAGACAGCAATTTCACCTCACTGGCTGCTCCCGTCAGCTAATACAGGACACAGTGGGCATGGCAAGGGTGTTCCAGTCCAGCTGTCCGAACCTTGAGCAGTTACTGAAACTCTCCTCGCTTCAGTTTTCCTCATCTATGAAACAGGGATAATGCGATGGTGGATGTGACTGAATCAAGTAAAGCAGGTAAACAAGTTTTCACAGTGACTGACAACATCAACTAAAAAAGTGTAGACATGAGTAGCTATGTGCAATGGGCCCAGGATGAGGGCTGGTGAACATTGTGAACTCGGGCTTACGAGTAACAAGAATTTGTGTTTTCATAAAGAGGAGTGAAAATGGCAAGCGCTCCTATCATAGATTTATTTGAAAGAATTTCTAAATTCTTAAAATCATGTGTCTCTTCGAAGAAATCAATGCGGGGGGGGGGGGGGAGACATATGTAATACTTTAAACAATAAAAAAATAAAAAAAAATCATGTGTCTCTTATTCAATACTCTTGTATCAAAAGAATACTACAATGATCACTCATATTTTAGGCAATCTAAAATTTTGAAGGCTTTTCCTGATCATAACCAAAATATTAAATTACATTCACTACTGAGACACTTTGGTGTAAGAGAGGGACTGGTGCTCAATGTGAGAAGCTACTGTGAGCAGCAGCTCCTCACTCTGCTGTCAGTCCCTCTGGATTCCGTTCCCTCATTCCCAGGAGAGATAACATCTGCCTTCCTAGCCAAGGGGTTTTTAAGCGTCAAATCTCAATGTTTATGAAGTGCTCCTGTAAATTATAGGCTGTTGTACATTAACTATGGTGCTGTCTTGTTTGATGATTCCTTGGACACTGCCACACCCTAAGAAACTTTTAAGCAACTAGAAACTTTCCGGCAAACAAATGATCCATATCACCCGTCATTCACCCAACCCTCCATGGAAGCCACTGCAAAAGGCTGATAAGAGGGAGAAGGAGCCACAGTACGATCAGTTTGGGGAAATGTGTGAACAGCCAATCTCCCACCCTGTCCTCAGGCCCTGTGCCATTCTCCACAGCCCCTGGCCCATCTTTACCACCATCCAGAGACGACTAAGAGCCACACAACACCTGGCACAGAGCGGGTGTTCAATATTTACTGAATTAAACACTAATTTAATTATGTTTTGATGGAATTTTCACTTCTTTTAGTAAAATCATATATTCATCCTTACACTATTCCCACATTTTAAAATACGACATATTTAAGAAAACTAGTAATGAAGTATTAAGCTCTATAGCTAGTCTTCCTGGGTTCTAGCTATGTGACCTAGGACAAGACTGAACTTCTTAAGTCTCAATTTCCCAACTGGAGAATGGAGGTAATACCTTCCAGAGAGGCATATAGTCAGTGCTCATTAAATGAATAAATATTAGCATGTATTATTTATAATTACGATAACTTAAGGTGTTCTGAGCCATTGATGAATGCAAAAACCATACACCATTTAAAATAGGTAATGAAAGGAGATATATGGACTTATTAGTAATACTTTAAATAAAATAAAATTAAAAAAAAAAAATAGGTAATGAAACCAGGAGATAAAGGAATCACCTTCTTAGAAGAAGTTGGAAAAGACTAGCTAGTGTCCTGGTAAAATGTTAGAAACGAATTACAAGTGAATATCATGTCTTCTTTTAAAAATTCACCTTGTAGACATAATTCTTCTAGTTTTTAACAGTGTAGTACTGTGACTTTGTCCATGCATTTGCATTTTTCTCTATTTTTACTCATTTTCTAAAAAACTTCGTTACCATTAATGTTAATATTACTTATTTTTTAAAGAAACAAAGCTTATAAAAGTCTAAGCTTACAATGAACAATTCAACACATATGAATAAATATTTTCAAGGGTTAATTTAAAAAGTTATAGTTTAGCCCATACACCAAACGGTTTCAGGTTCGATTACCTGTGAGGGCAATGCCAAAGTTTCAGGTTTAATCCCTGGTCTGGGCGCACACACTAGAGGCAACTGACCAATGCCTCTCTCTCTGTCTCAAAATCAATTAAAAAACAAACAAAGCATATCCTTTGGAATATTTCTTTAAAAAAGTTATAGTTTAATCACTTGTATACAGTAATCGGAATTCATGTTATATTAATCAACATTAAAATATAATAAACTCAAATCCAGAGGCTTTCTTTTAGAGATGAGTACTTGACTTAAAAAAAGTATTAACACTAAAACAGAGGAAGGGAGAGAGCGAAACAGCAAAGTAAGAGAGAAATATCAGATGAGTTAGCTGTCCCTGAACGCCCAGACCGGGGGTAGAACCTCCAACCTGGGCATGTGCCCTGACTGGGAATCAAACCCACCACCTAGCAGTGTACAGACAGGTCAATGCTGCATCCAACTGAGAACCGGCCTTTTTTGTACCTACGTACCGCACATGAGGCATTAATTCAAGTTTGAGGACAATAATTCAGCTTGAAGGCGGGGCAATGACCTCATTACTTTAAGGAAAAGTCCTTTCTGAGTAGGAAAGAGAAACCCCCAAAATGGTTGAGAACACACCCTCAGAGTTCTAAAGACCTGGGAACCCGGCTGGTGTGGCTCAGTGGTTGAGCGTCGACCTATGAACCAGGAGGTGGAGGTTCCATTCCCAGTCAGGACACATGCCCGGGTTGTGGTCTCCATCCCAATGTGGGGTGTGCAGGAGGCAGCCGATCAGTGACTCTCTCTCATCATTGATGTTTCTCTTTCTCTCCCTGTCTGAAATCAATTTAAAAAAAAAGACCTGGGGAGATGTGTGTTTCTTGTTCCTTGTCATGCTGCTACATAAAAAAAGTATTTTCCAGAAAAACATTAAGTGGCTGAGGCCACTGATCTGTAGGTTTGCTCCACCCTGGGGGTTGATGTAAAAATGTTCGTGTCGAAAGCGATGCAGAAGCATTCCTCTTCTCCTGTTCTCTTTTTCTCATTCGCAGCAGAATTCAGACAGTGGTTTTGGCCCTGGTTTCTCTGACTGTTGCCATCCATGAAGTCACGGCGGGCGGAGGATTCCTCCTGTTCTGCCTGCCTCCTTTCTGGGGGCAGTCACGCCGAGACAAACTGTGGCTATGAACGCACTGACCTGGGACACGGATCCCTCCTCCTGCCTTGGTGAATGAGCTCGGGGAGACACAGACCCCACGGAATGCTTCTCCACACGGTTGGCTCACACACTGCTCCATCCGCCCGGAACCCGGGGGAAAAAACTCTGGGAAACCTCGGGGCAGCTCCAGGAGGCTGTGGTGCCTCAACGGGACTTCCACCGAGCTCCCCCCGCGCACAGTGCCCGCGGCCGGGAAGCACAGGGAGGGTTCCACACACCGTTAGAGGAAGTAAACATTCCAAAAAATGTGCTATGGCTTACTTAGGAATTGTACGCCAGCCCACCCCTACAATGATCAGTGAATAACATCGCCCATCAGCTCAGAGGCAAACACTTTTATCCTTTCGGGCCAGCGGCTGGCACTTTGAAGAAGGTGTCAGCGCGGCGCCTTCGCTGGGAGAAGGCGCACAATAAATGAGAAGTGCGGAGGGACTGAGGACCGGACTGCGGGGAAACTGGGCGCTGCAGCCTCAATCCCACCAGCACCGGGCTGCCCCTCAGTCGTCTCCTCCGGGCCAGTCCCTGCTCCGGGGGAGCTCCCAGCTTCTTAATATATATATATTTTTTTCTCTCATGTGTTTGGAAGCAAAGAAACCGACCATCCCCACCAAGGACCGCTCATCTGCCGCGTCTCCTAAAAATGCCTAACCGGTCCTGACTACGTTGGAAGACCGCACACCGGCGATCAGAAGGTTCCAGAAGTTCGGGGTCCGGCGTCCCACCGGCCCTGGCCGCCAATGACGTCACCCCACGGACCCTGGCTCCTCCGCTCCCTCCGCGGGCGCACGTGGCGGCCGGCGGGGCGGGATGGCGGGGCGCTCCCTCTCGGACCCGGAGTGGGGACCCCTCGCCTCCCCAGCACACCTGCACCACGTGCCGGCCCGGGCTGCGGCCGCGCCCCCGCCCCGCGCCCGCGGCACCTGAGCTCCAGCTGGTCCAGGCTCTCCAGCAGGCGGCTGGAGCGGTCGGCCATGGAGGAGGAGCGGCAGAAGCGGCCCTCGTTGGCCTTGGCGTTGATCTTGGCCTGAGCCATCGGAGCTCAGCGGCGGGCGGGCGGGCGGGCGGCCAGGAGGTCACCGGCCTCTCCGGCGGCGGCGGCGAGTGGCGAGCAGGCGGCTGCGGCGGTGCGGTCCCCGGGCCCCGCCTCCCCTGACGCCGCGGGGGGCGGGGGGGCGGGGGGAGCGCCGCCGCCAACGCCGCCGCCGCCGCCGCCGCGTGGCCAAACAAGGGCAGGCGCGCCGCCCGCCGGGGGCTCGGCGCCGGCTGGGGCGGGCCTCCGGGGGCCTGAGGGACGAGGCCGGGCGGCCAGGCCACCCCCGGGAGGGGCAGACGCTGAGGGGAGGCCCCGCCGCGACCCCTCCTGCTCTGCGGACCCTGCAGCCCCCGGCCCAACCCTCCCTGCAGCCCGAAGTTCCAATCGCCCACCCGCGAAAGGACCTAAGGATATCGCTCAGAGATGGCTTCGCTCAGTTTCTCCCAGCCCCCACAACTCACAGCAAAGAACAAAAAACGCTCAAGTCCACGGATGCAAGGAGAAAAGGTCCCCTTGGGGAAGAGACGGCACTTAACCACAGCTCCCAGGCAGCCAGGACTGGCCTGCCTGCCCGGTTACCACTGTCCTGAGACTGAAAGGGAAAGAGGAATAGGGAAAAAATAAAAATAGACCCAACTTTCGCAAGGTGAATTGACTTCATTTCAAACCCTTTCTAAAGAAGAGGTTTTTAATGAGCTTTTTTTCCCCCTATTAAAAATTATTCTAGCTAAAACTGGTTTGGCTCAGTGGATAGAGCACATGTGTCAAACACAAGGCCCGCGGGCCAAATCCGTCCCGCCAGGCCTTGCAATGTGGCCCGCACCGCGCTGTCATCACTGCTCTCCGCTGCGTTTCCATCACAATGACAGTTTATGACTGTTCAGTAAACCATTCGGCCCGCGATTTAGGCTGGATTTTAGATTTTGGCCCCTTCTCTGATTGAGTTCGACACCCCTAGGATAGAGCATTGGCCTGAGGACTGAAAGGTCCCAGGTTTGATTCAGGTCAAGGGCATGTACCTTGGTTGTGGGCACACCCCCAATAGGGGGTGTGCAAAAGGCAACTGATTGATGATTCTCTCTCATCGATGTTTCTAACTCTCTGTCCCTCTCTCTTCCTCTCTGTAAAAATTCAATAAAATATATTTTTTAAAAACTATTCTAGTTGGGATTTTGAGTGAACTAACTAGTATCCATTAAGGCCATTTCACACCCAATTTACGTAAATTTGTAAAAGTGGAATTGGGCTGGGAGTACAAAGATCTAATTTTGCTCTAGCTGGGTGGGACTGAAGGGCCTGGTTTGGATTCTGGTTCAGGTCCTGAACCTCAGCCAGGCACATGTGGAAGGCAACCAATGGATATTTCTCTCTCTCTTCCCTTCTACTTTTTTTTTTACCTACTTTAAAACTTGTGACTTGTTCCTATTATAGCTCTACTAGTGGCCTGGTGCACAAGATTTGTGCACGGTGGGGAAGGGGGGGTGGGTTCCCTCAGCCTGCACCCTCTCCAATCACTTACCCCTTGGAAATGTCCAGCCTTGGTTTGGGCCTGATCCCACCTCTAGCAATCTGGAACCGCTGGCTCCTAACTGCTCACCTGCCTGCCAGCCTGATCACCCATTACTGCCTCTGCCTGATTACCCCTAATAGCCCTTCCTTGCCAGCCTGATCTTGCCCTCAAGTGCCCTCCCTTGCCAGCCTGGAAGCCTCTAACGGCCCTCCCCTGCTGGCCTGATCTCACCCCTAACATGGCAACCCAGCACTGACTTCTGGTTGAACCTCCAGTCGTTGTGGATGTTACAGACCCTCGTTTTTTTTGTTTGTTTGTTTGTTTTTTATATTAGGATGCTTCATATTGCAAGGATGAGAATGTACAGAATGCATAGAATGAAAATAGGTTAAAGTTGAATCACAATCTTTAATCTGAAGTCAAAGCCATTTAAATACTTGAACAGAGATGAGGCCCTTAAAACTGGAACCCAATTCCCTAAGACTTCAATATAAACACTAATGAACCCTTGATGTATGGGATTACTTGATCTTGAAAAATATGGTTTAAAAGTCTATCCTGTAACTTTAGGATAATATTAGGCTCTCTTTTTTCTCATATACCAGATCCAATCCTTAAGTAAATCCCTGCAGATCTACCTTCAGAATGTATCCAAATTCATCTCCCTGATTTCACTGCCACTACTCTGGTCCCAGCCACCACCAATTCTTACCTGGATGATACTGCAGCAGTACCTCCAGTCTGGTCTTCCTCCAGACAGTACCTTCTACTCTTTTTTTTAATTAAATTTTTTTATTAATTAAGGCATTACATGGGTCCATATCCCCCTATTGTCCCCCCACCCCACTCCCATACATACCCTTACTCCCCAGTGTCTTGCGTCCATTGGTTATGCTTATATGCATGCCCTCCTTCTACTCTTGCCTTTCAGGTACGTTCTCAATGCATTACCTTCATTAACCCTTCTAAATAAGGCAGATCACACAACTTATTCTCCGAAACCTTCAATGGCTCCTCATTTGAGTCAAAACCAAGATCTTTCCTAAAAAGGCCTCAGGAACTTTCTCTATTGCTCTCCTAGCTCATAATAGCCTGCATGCTTTTCCATGGATACATCAAGCTGACTTTTAGACCTTTCCACCCTCCATCTGGCACTCTCTTCCTCAGACATATTTCCATGGCTCACTCCATCAACTTCTTCAGGTCTTTGCTCAAGTTAATATGGTCAGGATCCTTCCAGACCAACCCACTAAAAATAAACCTCCCACCCCCACACTATCTTTCCCTTTCCTATATTCCTTCATTAACTTATCGCCATTGGATATATTCGCTTATCATCTAACACTCTATCCAACCTCCTCTCCTCCAATGTGTGCTCTACAGAGTGGGCTTTGGTTTACTCACTGATAAATCTCAAGTGCTTAGAACAATCAATCGCTGGACATGGCAGATAATAAATATTCTGTGAGTGAATGAATAAATAAAACAAAAAGATAAGCATCTTTGTCAATGTTAGAAACGTTTACTTTGGTAATTTAGTTTACCCATAATTTTCTGCAATTTTATCCATTGATTAAATCTAACCCCACTTTGTAACTAAATTCAAATAATAAAATTTTAAAAAAATTATTTTAAATTGCTTAACAGATAGAAAGACAATCAGTCACAACTAAAACATTAAACAATTCAATTTACCTTTTTAAGGGTCATGATGAAAAGCTGCTTAATAAAGCATCAGTGTACCTCACACCCGGGGGTGGCAGCTCTGGCACAGAGCCGTTGTTTCTTCCTCTTCCCCACGGCTGTTTAGCCACACTCCTTTCTGGAATGTCCTTTATGCTTCTCACTACCGTGCAAGCTCCTCTAGGTGTCTAAGGTCTGGCTCAGGGACTACCTCCTAAGGCCTTACTTGACCACTTTAACATACAAATTAAAAGCACAATGTAGTTATTTTGGAAAAATGACTGGTAAATTCTCAAGCTATGATGTCTACTTAAAAAATATACATATATAAATAGGTAGAATGGACCTGATATATATTTTTTAAAATATATTTTTATTTATTTCAGAGAGAAGGGAGAAGAAGAGAGAGAGGAAAAAACATCAATGATGAGAGAGAATCATTGATCAGCTGCCTCCTGTACACCCCATACTGGAGATTGAGCCCACAACCCAGGCATGTGTCCTGATTGGGAATTGAACCGGTAACCTCCTGGTTAATGGGTCTATGCCCAAACACTAAGTCATGCCGGCTAGTCTAGACCTGATATCTCAAAAAATAAAAACACAAATTGATTTCCAATGTGAGTTGAAAAGATTATACTGTAAAAAGACTGTGCTGTAATAAAAAAATATATAGCAATGTGATTTCACACTAAAATATATAACTGCAGAAAAGAACAAAATTCTAACAATGATTTTTTTTTCTTTAAAAAAATTATAGAAAATTTTCAATTTGGTAAGCAATTACTACTCAAAAATTTTGGAATAACATTTCTGGTCAAATGACATGAAGCATGTACATAAAGACAGTATGACAGTCCTTCTTACTCTAATAATGTAATATTTTAATTATTCACAATGGGGGCCTCAACATTTAAAAATTAAATATGCAATACCAAATGTAGGAAACTGAAAAACAATTTAATGAATAACAAAATGAAGGGACTTACATATGAAATAAAAATTTTAAAGGGTTAAGGAAGATTATTCCTGAGTAGACCTGGAACATTATTTTTTTAAGATTATGTTTACACAAATATATAAAAAAGACTAATATTATTAAAAATAAGTTTAATTCTATGCAAGTATTTTGACAACATTCCTTTTAAACAGTAGATAATACAAGTCACATGAAAGTCTAAGCAGGTAAAAGGAATAGAAAAGGTTTCTTTTTAATTATTTCAAAGAAGGGTGCTCTTTTTATTCCAGCAATGTGCTGCTCTAATTAAAGCAGGAATTACACCTTTAAGTGAAATCCACAAAGAACAGTGCTGGTAACACTTCTAAACTATTTCCACAATTAGTTTCTATTACTGTCTTCTAATAATCATAAACAGAGAAATCAAAGGTAATTATAAACATAGATTAGTGCCACATGAGAAGTAGAATTTACAGAAAAACTAATCTATGGCAGCTTTATTTATTTTCATTTCCAATCCTAAAAAAACAACAAACAAAAAACAACCTAGAATCACCTGTACAGAAATAATGTAAAAAATGTAATAATGTACAAGTAAAGAAATAATGCTATTTGGGAAACATATAAACAGTCAAGAGCTTTTCTATTTTTCAATTCTTTTAACCTAAATATAGGAATTCCAAGTTAACTGGGAAACTGTCATACCTCTAATAGAATACATGGTTTATATATTTGTATTAACATGTATTTTATTCCTCTACATTTTTTAAAAAGAGCACAAAAATACAAAGCAAATATAAAATTTTGACCATGAGAAAACAAAAAAAGCAGTGTTCCAAATACTTCTGTACTAGTTAGGCCATTGCTGGCCTTCTTTAGAAAACAAAATCAAGAATTCATTATCCTGAGTATCTTCAAGGCTACTTGATGCTCTGTGGTAATATCTTTAGTTACATTTCCT